GGAGAGGATATCTTTTTTTTTTAATAAGATTTCTCTAATATTCTGACCAGTAGACAAAAATAAATAATTATACTGTTTAATAAATGACAGAGTGTCTACTCAAATATGGGTATCCACTAAAAATAACGTTTAAGTGATAAAATCTGTTGGAAAAATAAATAAAAAATCCATTAGTTCTTTAGAAATTACAAACAATCTTAAAAATGATATTGATAGTTATTCCTCCTTGCAGAAGGCATAGAAATGATCATAACTTGATTTGCTTTATTTTCCAAGAAAAATAAAAAACAATATCTTCACTATTTGTAAGATAAGCAACTTTGGAAGAAGCCATGAGTAACATCTCCCTCAGAAAATATCATGTTGCTTGGTTCAAATATTACTAATTTTTTTTTTTTTGTTTGCAGCTTTTTCAGTTTTTTCCATCTAGTTTTGTTTTCAAGTCAAGCCTGTTAAATATAAAACAAGATTTTGATGAAACCCCAGTATCATTTCAAAATGTTTTTAAAATAATTCAATGTAAAGAGTGAAAAATTTTGAAAATATGTACTTTCTGTAAGCACAGATTTTATTTTTTCCCTTTAAATAAATTTTATATTTTGTTTTGATTTCAAGCAATTTTTAAAATACACAACAGAACATTTCTTTCTTTATTTTGTATAAATTATTTTCCTTTTTTCTTTTTTTAAAAACATACTGGCCACTTAGGCTCTCTCTTGGAGAGATACAATTTCTAACACATTCTTAAAAATTCCTTTCTTTTGGAGAAATTTATTGAAATAGTCTTACTGAAAATCAAGTAATTCTTGTCTTGAGTGAATTTTGCCATTATAAAATAGCAGAAAGGAATAATATATTATCTGACAATTTATTTATAATGTTTTATGATGACATCATATACATAAATAAATAGACACATACATCATTTTTTAATAACTGTAATTCAAAAATTTCACTTCATGTTTGAAGAAAATAAAATTTTGATTATTTTAATTAACAAAGTACATCAATTAAAACAAGCACATGATTAGAAATTATAAAAAAAAAAAAAAAACAAACAAAAATCTGTGTACACTAAAGTTCAACATTTGGCAGCTATGCCTAAAAATTGTATCTGCTTCCAGTTGTCAATATTTACATAATAATAATATTTAGCAGTTAGCAACAACTATCACATGTACGGTGGGTGGAATAATTGATAAATTTGAGGAGACTATTGGGTAATTCAACATAATGACTGCTGAAAATAGAAAGGAGAAACCCATGTAATTATTGGGTTGGCCAAAAAGTAAATTTTCTACTTAATAAGTAAACAATAATTTTGGCCAACCCAATATTTTTATGAAGATTAGGATCACCTGGAAACTTATTTATAACTAGTTATCATTAGGAGAACATAAATAATGTTATTTATCCTTGAAGGTGATGAATTTGTCTTTACCTGAACTCATACTGAGAACACATTTTTAAACTTGGAATATTTGGAATCTTAACAAAAAAAAGAAAAGAAAAAAAAAGGTAAACAAAGAAACCCAACTTATAATAATTCATTTAATAACCATGAAAAATAAATTTGAAGGAAAAAGAGGTATTTTTTTTTATTTTTATAACTTCCAATGAGTAGTTTATGTTACCAAACATATATACAGTGGACATATTGAATTTTGCCCATTAAAAACATTTTCTTAGTGTATTTTCCTTTTGACAAATTGTATGTTTTTTTTTTATTTCTATATTTTGCTCACTTGATCAATATATAAGGTAATAAAATTCATCACCTGTACAGATCCTGATGGTATGGCATAAAGTATGACTTAAACCAGTGTAGAAAATCGAGTTAAAACTATTAATGTATATAATCATGTCAGTTTAATACAAAGGGACATAACTTGTATATCAAACGAACAAATAAAATAATGAACAACGTGCATTTGTCGATGACTGAGAGTTTCTATAGGTAACCAAAAAAGTCCTTGCAGTTTTTTATGTCATGTGGGAAGAAGTGATCACTGATATGCAAATGAGTGTGTCACGTGCCGGGAAAGCGGTGGGGAGCATTGCTCTTGACCAATGCAGCTGTGTTGCACACAAACACACACACACACACATACATACATTAGTCATAGCTTGAGCAGCAGTGAGGAAACATGGTTGTGTCAAAGTAGCTTGACTGCTTTGTGACTAAGGTAGGCTTGTCTGCAGCTGCATCAAGTTTTCGAATACATCAAGCCTTTGAGTATAATGCTGTGAGTGAATACACTGTCAGGCATTGCTTCCAGATTCCAGTTCAGGTTGGGAGATCTGCCCCTTTGTGATGAACCTCACTGTGGCTGGTTGCAGGTCCTGGATGATGAAGCCCTGAAGGTGGCCATAGAGGTGGATAACAGCCAAAGCTGTGGTGAGTTTGCCTAATGCTTCTAGGTTTAAAATGAAACAATCAGGCGACTTCACCTGCACCGCATAGGGAAGGCATAAAAGTTGGGCAAGTGGATACTCTACACATTGTTTGAAGCCAACAAGCAACAATGTGACAACCTGTTTCACATTGCTTTCTCGGAACTACAATGTACCCATATTTTATTGAGTGCTTACCAGTGAGGAAAAGTGAGTTCTGTATGACACTCCCAAACATGCCAGATATTGGTTGTCACCATGGGACCCTGTGCCTCATACCACCAGACCATCTCTACACCCACACAAGATCATGCTCTGTATCTGGTGGACTAGTTGACAAGTGGTGCACTATGAGCTGTTACAAACAGGCCAAACCCACACTGTAGACCTGTACTCACAGCAGTTGGAACATGTGCAAGAGGTATTGAAGCAAGGGTGTACTTTTTCTCCATGACAATGCCAGGCTTCATGTGGTGCAGGTGGCTAGGGATACCATATGGTGACTTGGTTGGGTGACACTGTGCCATCCACCTTATTCCCTGGACCTTGCACCAATAGATTACTACTTCTTCCATTCTCTTTGTGGGAAATCCTTCACAAATAAGGCAGACACTCACAGACTTCTTTGCATCCAAAACACCTGATTTTTATTGCCAGGACATTGCACAGCTGGACGCATGTTGACAAAAAGTTCTGTATGTTGATGGAGGTTACTTTAACGACTAATGGTATAGAAAATTTGCTGTATACCTTTTTTTTCTAATGATAGGGACTTTTTTGGTTACTTTGCATGATTATTTCTACAGTTTGATTGGATTACATTTTAAAATTGTTCTCCTTTTAAATAAGAAGAAAATTTTAAACTGGCATTGTTGATGTTGGCCTCAAAAGTCCATATTTTCAGAGTGCATATGTTTTAGAATCATTAAAATTCATAAAAAATCTTATTCTTGCATAATTTAATAACTGTATTATTTAGGAATTCTAGATTTTACATAAACAGAACTACCATTTTGTTTTGAATGTTGAAACACCGGTTTCAGCTTGATCACCAAAGTTAACCAAACCTTTGCATGGTTAATACCAAATAAGTGACTAGTTGAAAATTGCAGGTGCTGTTGGGTAAAAAAGCACACCTGGCCCTCCGGGATAAACAAACCCATTTGATAAAAAGACTACAGTAAATGATGAAGCTGGTCACTGTCCTACCAGTACAATATCTTGACTATAAAAGCAGCACCATTCTCTAAGGAGAACAAATTACTAAAATAGTAAAATAAACATAGCAGGAATTTGGATTCACAAATGGTATAGCAGGTAATCCTAGCATTTATTTTACAAATGTATGAATGGATTGTCTACAGGAGTTTTGAGTTATATAAAAACATTGACCAAAGTTTAGATACTTGTTCCTAGGCTTGAACCAGTGTCAACCATTATATTAATAGCATCATTAATGGCAAGATTGAAATCCTTGCCAGGAAGCTCACACCATTGACCCAATACTTATTTCATTTTGGCCAAGTGGATTTTAGAAACTTATATATTAGCTTTGGGCATAAGGTTATGAAAAATTTGCTCAAGATCAAGGTAGTCACACCTGAAATTTATTTGTAGTCAAGCATTTTCTATCCAATTTAAAATTATTATGTATTTGTCATAATACCTACAATCTAATATCAATAAATGTTGCCTTTTTTTTTTTTTTTTTTTTTTATTTATACCAATATAGTGAGCATATGCTGAAATTTTTACAAGTGTTGCTGATGGAAATATCAAACATTTTATACAGTTTTAAGATGTAAATTAAATATAATCAGTTCTAGAAAAGCCATTGCTTTCATATTGCTTTTCAAATGTATGATGTGGCTATGTACATGGATTCTGTTAATTGAAACAAATTGACACCAGGAATTAAACACAACAGGAAAAAGCAGAAAAAAACTTAAAATGAATAACAATGAATGAAAAAAGTAAAACAAATGTCATTTTATAGTAAAGGGCATGAATTTTACCAAATAGTAAAAATAAGCAACTGTAAACTTGTTCTCCTTTGGTAAGGTAGAATTTTACAAGTACATAAATGAACTGACCGTGGTGGGCATGGGGATGTGAAAGACTTGCCCAGGGTCTTCATAGCTGCTGCTTGGTGTCTTATCAGTAGTTGTAGGCTATAAACAGCAGCAGCATGAAATAACAGTAGTCATAATAGCAGTGGTTGCTTTGATAATATAAATAAATTTAAATATTTCTTTTATATATATATATATATATATATATATATATATATATATATATATTTATATATATTATTAAAAAATTTCTGATAATGGGGCTTGGAATTAGTTAACGTTTAACTCTGCATCAATTAAAATCTTAATGTTTGAGAAAAACGTAGGAGCAGTATTTGCTTTGGTTTATATGTTGTTGCTCTGAACAATTCACTAAAACATGATGGACTAGGCAGTTGGGGATTATGAAAATTGGTAAAGTTATTTTACAAGTAGATCGCAAGGGGAGAAGGGTGAGATGTTCACAAGAATTTGGGAAGAAAGATCAGAGTCCTGTGTAAAGTGGCTGCTCTTGTGTTGTAGCAGGAGTATGACTAGCAGAATTTGTAGCCACTGACTGATTTGGAGCAGGTTCATTTTTCTTCTTCCTCTTATTGTTCACTTCTGGCATGTCACTATAGAAAGAGAGAGAAAGAAAGATACAAAAATACAGAGTTATAATTGAGCACGACACAAAAAAGTTAAAAAACAAAAATATTACAAAGGAGGAACATTAAAACAGAGTGTATGCATATGTGTGTGTGTGTGTGTGTGCATCATACAGAAGTAGGTAAATAACTACTAGTCCCACTTATATTGTAATGTTAATATTAACTGTTTCCTTATAAAGAAACATTCATTAACCCTTTGAGCCCTTTGTTCCTGAACAATTTTAACCATTTTCTGTCTGAGCTCCTGAGTCAAAATTCGCAAATAATTGGTATGTAATGTTTCACAGTAAATATAAAAATAGTTACAAGTGTTTACCTACCATTCAACTAGTGGTTGGGCATTAAATCATCTTTCTCTACCAATGGTAAAGCAGTGGTCAGGGCTTAAAGGGTTAAGACTGAGCAGTCAGTGCTACTGTTAGTTGAAATTTATAAAATCTTTCTTGTAAAACAATTTTTTAGGAAAATCGGTTTCTCAAGTCTAGTAAATTATTGCTTTTCCCAATATTGATGGGGGTTTTCTTTCTAATCTTTTGTTCATATGTTGTTATTTTCTCTTAGAGTTACATGTGATGATCGATTAATTGTTGCTGTCCTCAAGTGATGCGGCTTTTGTTATTTGAAAAAGTTCTTTCTTTGTGATTCTTTAATGCCAGTACACATGATGAGCTCCTATTAAGAGAGACAAATTTTCATTCTTTGTGAAGGTCCACATAGACAGTGTACACTATACTTGGTATTAGTAAAACAACTTTTTTTTTCCTAACTAATTTTTCTCCCAGAACCACTTAAGGTAGAAAGATGCTGAATGAAATTGTATGGACATAAGAGGATTTTAGATTTAGATAGGTTATTTTACCGGTACATCAATCGTGTGCGTCATTTTGTGCCGAATCAGGTAGTTTTAAGATTTGTTTTTATTTTGCAGACAAATTCTTTTATAAATCATTATTATATAAAGGGGGTGGGGTGGGGAATGTAATGAAGTTTTAATTGCATTTTGTAACCAGGTGTTTATTCGGTTTCTTTTTATATTTTGGGGTAGAGTTTTATTACTTTTAAGAATTCTAAAATGGCTTTGGGTTCAACAATCTCAAAGGGGATCATTGTAGATTTTTGTATTGGTGCCAGTTTTTTGCAGGTAATTAAAAAAAATTTTGACAGTAACTATTTCTTGGCAGTTTGGGCATTTTGGAGGGTCTTCATTTATGTGAGTGTGCCCAATTTTGATTCTTGTAAGTGTGACATCATCTTTTGTTGAGTGTCTGGTACTGTGATGTACAGTCAGAATGGATTCTATTTGATATAGTTTGTTCTTTCTGTGTGTATTCCATGATTTTTGCTATTGGTTGACGAAGTAAGAATTAATTGTGGTTTTCAAGTCTGTAAAAGTGATTTTTGAATTTGATATGTTCATTGAGAGGGATTCTTCCTTGCCTGCCTTATCAGCATGCTATTCCCAGGGATCCCAATATTGTTAGAGATCCAACACAATATGATGTGTTTTTGATTGAGTATTGAGTTAAATCTGTTCAGGAGTTTGGTGTTTAGTGGGTTGTTCATGTTTTTGTTATTGATAATTGTCAGAAGAGGTAGTAATTGCAGATTAGAAGGATAGATAAAAACTGAAACTAAACTTGAAGAGTTTACATTATAGTGATCGGGGAAGCAATTGACTCAGGAGTTTGTTCTACAAAGTATTGGTTCTCAGGAAGTATGTAACATGGTGGGTCCTAGCTGCAAAAGTTTGAGAAATATAGCTCATCTGATTATTTGGCATGAAAATATAAATAGAATAGACTTGTAAAATTTTTAAAAGTGTCATATATATATATATATATATATATATATATATATAATATAAAAGGCTCAAACACTAATATTCCATGGTTATAATTTATTACATTGGAATCGTAATCACGATCCAATTCATCAGACCAGAAATTGGATCATGATTACAATTCCAATGTAATAAATTATAACCATGGAATATTAGTGTTTGAGGCTTTATATTATATTCTTACTCTGTCCTGGACATTGAGTTCTACCTGGATTCTATCCTCTTTGTAATTTATATATATATATATATATATATATATATATATATATATATATATATATATATATATACCATATATATATATATATTTATTTGTTGCACACTCATCTTTATTGTAGTACTCATATTTCAGCCACTGTACGATCCAGCCTTCTTCAGGTGATATACACTGGAATTTCAAACTGAAACCTTTATTTCCTCCATTGGGGTAGATTGTTCTAGTTCCATGTGCCATGCCTCTTCTAGATATGTCAGTTTCAGTTATTTCCCTTTAGTAACTCAACTCTGCAAGTTTTTGTTCACCTCTGCTGTGGCCAGGTATTGAAACTCACAACACTTTGGTTACTGGATTACTTCAACCAATGATTTTATCCATGAGGCTATAGTTATATATATATATATATATATATAACTATAATTTTGACTGAATAATGAGTTCAATCCTCACTGGATGCCTCCTACTTTTGGCCTTGTGCCACATCTAAGCTATACTTGGAAAATCACTATATTTCAACCTTGAAAATGGCTAAATGTATAGCTGAAAGTGCTCAGAAAAAAGAACAATTGGACAGTTTTTATATAATTTATCTACTGAAAAAAAAAAATATATATATATATAAAAAATTTTCATCCAATAGAAGGCCCAAGAGCAACTCAAGGTAGAGGGTTACTGAATAAGGTGTGTGGTATAGAAATGGAGGACAGATAAAAATCAACCCTTGATATGAAGAGGTTAAGTTTATGGTGTTCAGGGACGCATCTACTCGGGAGTCTGTTCCACAAAGTATCAATTCTTTGGGAAGAAGCTATGTAAGTGGAACTTCCTTCAATTCAATGGATTACAAAGTCAATAAAGATGACTCATTTGTGTACATGGTATGGTGTGTCCTAACTGCAAAAGGTCTGAACTGGTGGAACTAAGGAACATATCAAACCCAGAAGACAAGAAAACTAACTTCATTTGGAAAACTGATGCAACAAATTCTTTCTACTTCTATTTTCCCCAATTTGAAACTCTGTTGGTGTTTTGTAAATATCTATAAAAATAGTCATACATTTTTAATCTTATGATGTTATAAATGATACCTTTCTTGGGCCCAATGTAATATGATATAAGAGAGGTCTGATCAAAAAGTACTGGGAATAATGCGATAAAAGGATAACTACAACACATATCAATTCAGCATTTAATCTTCTTCAAAGTAGTCCTCTTCTGAAGTCATGCACTTTATCTAGCACCGTTTTCAATCATGAAAGTATTCCTGGAACTTCTTTTTTGGGATAGCAAGCAGATATACCTTGTTGTATTTCTTGGATTTCTTCAATATCTTGAAATTTTGTTCCTTTCAAATGGCATTCAATTTTTGGAATGAGGAAAAAGTAGCAAGGTGAGTTCTGGGGAATATGGTGGTTGTTGGACCTTGGGAATGTTGTCCTAGGCCCAAAACTGCTGCACAAGCCATGATCACTGATGAAACCTCTGTGGTGTGATGAGATGACTACACTCTACACACTTTCCTGCAAAGCACCGCTATAAACAACAGAAGAGAGTGGGAATGTTATAACTTAGTATGCATGATGCACAACAGAGTTCAAGGGTCAATGTGTGCCAAGCAGCTTCACTCTGTGTACTTTAGCTCCATTGCCATAGCAACAGTCCTGATACCTTTTGATCAGATCTTGTGTAAGTAACATTACTGAATTATGAAAAGATTTATGTCAAAACTAAAGTAAAATTAGTATTTATATTAATCAACTAGAAGCTTTCCTCTTTGATACCTTTATTTCATGAATTTATGTGTAGCACTGGATTGGCAGATAGGTCTCATTATTTTACTGTTGAAATTACTAAATGTAACTAAGTTCTATACTAATAATTTCTTCTCTTTATGCTTCCCGCTTTCCCGTCAAATACAACATCTATTGTCATCTTTAATCCTATTCTATTGTCCTTTCTCCTCAATTTCAGAGTCTTTCCTTATAAGTAACCACTTGTGATTTATTGTCTATATTGCTTTGCTTGGGGTGAAATGATTAAAAAAAAATCTTGTGTATAAAATGTTGAAACAGTTGAATGAAAAAGTAAAAGATCTTCACAATGTCAAAATTGGTAAATGCCTGTGAATAAGCAAACTTGAATATTTTGCAACTGTTTAGGCGTAACATAATTTCCAAGCCTCAAATCATAATTTAAATTATAGAAAAAAAAATGAAGACAATCCTGATTTGAAGCTTGAAAATTAAAACATTTTATTATGCAAGAACCTAAACCTATAAAGGTTTAGGTTCTTGCATAATAAAATGTTTTAATGACCTAATAATTATTAAGATTTGGAACTGAAATACACACATACAAAACAATACTGATGGCTTATATTATATTTAGAAGGACACTTGGCCCTCAAACTAGACAGTATAGCAAGCCTATTTATAGGATGATGGAGCAATAGACAAAGAATTTTAATAATAACTCTTCTGAATTCATTAAACGATATGAACGCATACTAGAAGCAAGGGAAATAACTCTAGCTGAAGTGATATTTTAAAAAAATATAATCATAATCATCAGTCCCAAGACCAGGTGTGTTCTTAGTGTCCCAGCACAGTTGAACACCTGCTTAGTTCCCTCTACACATCTGGATTGAAAGGCAAAGAGGTATTCATTCATGAGTAGCATGTCTAAGTAAGTAGACCTAGCAGAGCCCATTTGTCCCAGGTTGAACAACAGCTGCTGTCCTCCAACTTGAAGGCTCATGTTGGTCCTGTCTGAATATGTAATTGTTGATTTCATCAAGAGAACTTTCCAATCTGACCATTGACATTTATGGTTGCACCCACATCTATGAAGCCCAGTCTACCCCATTTTGCAAGATGGCCTCTGACCTTATACGGTCCACCCACCCTTTGACAGACAGGTTTTGTTTTTTTAATCCTGCTGGATGTCTAGCCACCCTCCTCCCCAGAAAAATCTGGTGAGGGAACTGGTTTAGTCGCCAATGACTCAACTGGGTTACTATGATGTTACATGATGTGAAATACAGAAAATTAAATAAAGAAACTAAAAGAAAAAAATAATTGTAACTTACCCAAAAAAAGGCAGAAGCTGGAGTAAAGTGTTCTTCGTTATTGATGTACTAATCTCATTGGAATTCTCCATCACACAGTTAATCACCTTACGTAAGTAGGTCTGTAACATGACTCGTCTTTTCTCAACAACACGAGCTTCCTGTTAGAAATACAAGTGGAAAAAGTCATCATCAAGGCCGACTGCAGTTGGGATCATAGAGTCATTGTAAACTGCTGTAGCAAAAAAGATTTAAACTTTGTTTCTTTCCTTGCAAACAATGTGTTCAAATAATTGATATGGCAGCCAAATTCCACAATGAATTAAACAAATTGCAAGTCCAAACTTGAAGATACAGGGGCAAAAAGAAATGTCAAAATCACAAATCACTGATCCAATGTCACAAATCCCAATACATATAAATGGTCAGAAATCATCATGCAAGCCAACAGACAAAGCAGAAAAGATCAAAACAACTTTCCTCAATTCAAGAACACCAACTGCTTTTATCAATGGAACAATTTTTTTCAATGTCTGACAGTAGGATAGGACAAACAATATTAGCATATCTGAGAAAAATTTATGGCAACATCTGCGACCGACTTGTTTCTATTTTGGTTATTTTGTCTTCAGCATATCATACAGAACATACGTGCCCATTTTTTTTTTTTTTGGTAAGTGACTTTCTCTTTTGCCACAACCTCACAATCATTTCATTAACTACATAGTATGTGCTCCATCAAGGCTAAATATGGTTTCAAATTCAAATTTGGCCTTCTCTTTGACTGGTTGCCACCCAAGAAGAACCCAGTGTGTCTTACTTTTTAACCCATAGTTGGGGGATTCATAGATTCAAACTATTCCCAAAGGTATTTGCATGAAAGTGAATGTAACAAAACTTAACTGAAATTTGAACTCAGCTCTCCAATTTTTCATTCTGAACTGCTATACATTAAACCGCACACACATCCTTTTTTCATTTTCTTTATTTTTTAAGGATGTGGAAAAAAAGAAAACATTAAATATAGAAAATTGTTTTTTTACAAACACTAGGTACCTGCTATACAGTGATTTGCCCTACTAGGGGCATGTAGAATGAAACCTGGCCACAAAGCACATTTTCTTTATTAAAATTCTCAAATATGCAGATTGGTAGACACATTTACATTGATAAAAAAACAGGGATGTCTAATCAAATATGTGTATATAGTTTATAGTAAGAAAATATGTATGTGTGTGCACATGCACAAAATGTATTTTTAAACTAGTATTTTAGATAAAATTCTATCCCAAATCTACATTCTGAAACATCCCTTTAAGATAAGGGCTTCTATTTCCATTGACATTTTAAAGTTTGAAAACCAACCCTTTTGACAGGACAGAGCATAGTAAACACATACATATGCATATGCATACTGTTTAAAAATGACTTGCAATTGTGCAAGACTTGTAAATTTAACACTAGATTTAGTCTAACAAAATTAAGGAAGTTTTTACATTTTGTAAAGAAAGATGATTTTGAAAAAGTACATAAAAATTAAACCTTTCATTTTGCAAATACTAATTTTGTAAGTGTCAAGTTCATTTTAGATACAGACTATTTGCCATTGTATAGAAATTGGTAAAAAAACAACTAGTCTCTTACTTTGTAGCCGACTGTAACTTTCGGAGGGAAATTGAACTGTCCAAGAATGGGGTACTTCTTCTTCAGTTTACAGTAAAGGACATAAAACTGGCGGTACCGTCGATAAACATTCCATTCTTCATCCTGAATTCGTACATAAACCTGTAAAAATAAAAATCCCCCTTTTGAGCAAAAATCAAAACAATTGATAAAGAAAGAATAGTAATAATAAGCTTAACTTGATACAAAAAAAAAAAAAAAAGCATCTTTTTTTTTTTTTGATTCATAGAAATTTAATTTCATTGTTTTATTTTGTTGTTGGTAAATACATACTGACAAGTTGACTGATATAGAAACAGGATTCAAGAGATTAAGACTTTTCAAGCAGGACATTTTTCCACAACAAAGCTTAAATAGGAATCCTATTTTGTGCAGCTATCAAGATTCTTGTTTACTACAGAGTCAGGAAAAGGGTAAGAACAAGTGAAATTACTTCCTACATATAGAAACATAGATTACTGCAATGGTTTGGTTTCATTATGCAAGAGAAACAGCAAAATATTTTATGGATAGGAACAATCAACAACTAAAGATGAAATTTACATATTTTCATTTTTGCTTTACATATTTTCACTTTATACTGTTGTTAAATGGCTTGTTTAATAACTTCAAAATGAAACTGCTCTCTTAATTGTCTTCAAGAACCTTTTTTGACTTCTATCAGTATGGCTGATGCTAACCTTTAGGTAAATGACTAATTGTACCTTCTTGGGAAAATGTTTTCTACTGACATGAAGCAGAAAATTTATACTGAATTAATTGCTAGGTCTGCTATTAGGAAAGTTGGTTCATGGCATCATGCTAGACAATTTTTCTCACCACATCACTTTTATAAGTCTACCATTTGTTCATGCATTGAATATTGCTGTCTCATCTGGTCTGGTGCTTCCTCTATGAAATTCTTGACAAAATTCAAAGATGAATCTGCAATGTTATTGGCATCTAAGCTTGATCTCACATCTCAGTTTGAGTCACTTCCCCATCGCCATAATGTAGCCATCCTTATGACTTTTCTATAAATATTTTTTTCATGGTGATCTTTTTGATGAGCATTCCTCTTTGATATGTAGACTTTATGAATTTAAGCACAGTACTAGATTGACAGCTAGGTTTCATCATTTTACAGTTGAAATTGCTAGATATAACAGTAAGTTCTATGCTAACAGTTTCTTCTCTCTTTCATTTTTTTGCTTGTAGAACTCTCTTCCAGGTTCTTGCATCTTCAAAAGTTTAAATGCAATGTCAATCATCATCATCTGTGTTTGAATCCTGTTCTTTTATTATTTTTTCCCTTAATAATGATTTTTCTCAGATTCTTTCACACTCAATAACCCCTTGTGTCTTAGTGGCTTTATCACCTTGCTTGGGGTGAAATGATAAAAAAAAAAAAAAATCAATAAAAGTGGAAAAATGAACAACGAAAATTACTTGTATACAAGTTCAGTGGTTGCTCATGAAATTATCTGCAAGATACCGATATAAATCTGAACCTTAGATATTCAATTTACTGGCAGTTTAATAAAACTAAAATGGATTAAGCTTTAATCCAATTCTACAGTTGACTGCTTAGCTTCTAACATTCAAGATGAGACAATCATTTATAACGATTTATCTCCCTTAGATTTAACATATCCATATGATTTTTTTAAATGGATTTTTTGATCCAACCTTCTTATTACGTGTTTGAGTTGCTATTCCTGTTTTCTTATAACATTAATGACAACCAGCCTAGTTCGAGCAACTCAAACACATGTACCTATTAAAAATAACTTTTATAGTAATAAGAAATATCCACATATAAAATTCAATGTTGATGTATATCCAAGATGTGCCAGGTATTTGAGAACACATTTTTAGCAGACTATAGAGAACAATCTTATGTAATGTTACATGACATGTGCTAAATTTTGACATTCTCATTTCTCTTTAAACATTTCTAGGCCATTTCTATGGCAGCTCCCAATCTGACACAGAAAATTGAAAGGCATTCGATGTTTGTGACACTAGCTACAAACCAGTGAATTGAAGATAGCAAGCTTGTTGAAAGTGATCAGGTCAGCAGTAGAAAGGACAGGTGAACCTCATGAAGGCATTTACAAATGCTCATCAAGTACATATCAGCTGTAATAGTCCTGGAGGTTGTGAATAATGAAGGTTGTGCCATGCCACCCTGCTTCATTCAAGGATTCAGGGTCAATGTCTGTACCTACATGAAAGTGCAGTCATTAAACCCTTGATGAGTATGACAGTTCTTGGTATTGTGGAGTAGCCGGATGATGACGCCCCCAGATATAATTTAGTTGAATTTATTAAAAGAGTTAAGAGGTCACATTTTGGGAGTAAATTGATCATGAAAATTATCAACTACTTCTTCTTTGGTGACATAGACCATGTAAGAAGTCGACTCCTGCTGGAGCACATACTGGATATAATGGCTAACATGAACAAGAACCACTTGATCCAAGTATGCAGACACTTCTGAAACTACATTCAGGCCATCTTTGAGATTGAGGATAGTTTTATTGAATAAGTAGAGCTGAACTTTCACTTGATGAGCCCCAAGCTATATAAAGTTTGAGGCTCTTCTCTAAAAAAATTTAAAATAATTATACATGATTATTATTTATTAAGGATTACAAAATTAAATTAGTTAAAAAATGTTCTTTTTAATTAATTAATTTAGCCGATTTGCCACATAGCAAAAATGCCTTCAACAATTAGGAAATATTCAGTACAAATATTTAAACAAAACTATATTTAATAATAATCCCCTTTTTATTTAAAACATTCTTTTCCTTGATTTTTCTTCAGCAAAATTAATTATTTCATTGAAAGGAGAACAGCGTAACTTGTCACTACATAAAAAACTAAGTTCATTTTTTATTCTTTTTAACTGTGAAAAAAGATCTTTTTTCTAAGCAATTTCTAACCATCAATCATAGGAATAATTGCAAAATTCCTTCTACATTTGGAAACACCTGATGAGTTTTGTCTTTAGATTATTTGATATCAAAACTTGTGGCTAATGCTCATCTGTTGGATAATTTCCCTTCACATAAACATGAAAATGTTTCAATTCACCTAACAGGTTCATATTGACATTGTTAGGATATTCTCAAATAATTGCTGTTACTGTATCACATACTTACTCCTCTGAAGAATTTAAATCAACTAAAAGTGACAATTTCTCTGCAACATAATTATATACTGTTGCTCTTTTATTTGAGTTCATGTGAAGCACATCCACAATAGGAATAAAGATTTTACTCTAAATTTATCTCTTGGAGAGGAGTTCTTCATCTGCATTTGAATCAATTTGTTTTTTTTTTTGGAAGAAAGACTTTAAAACTTAATGTACCATATGGTTGTCAAATTATTTTACAATTGTTGTCATTATTACTTTTTATATTAATGCTAATGATAAAGAATAAATAATATATATATATATATATATATATATATATATATAACATTTTTGATGATTTAGTGTTAAAAAAAACTAATGATAAAATAAAAACGTATTTTAAAAAAAATGAAAACCCCAGGTGGTGGTTAAGCTCTATAAGCTTATTTAGATTATAGATAAGTGCAGCACTGTGAATAAGAATCTTCTGGCTATATAAGTTGGATATGTAAAAAATTTCTCTGAAAATATATTGAATTTTCTATTGAATATGTTTTTCTTCATATCATAATTTGTCCTCAACTACATGGTCCTTCCAAAATCATTTCCTTAAATGTAACCAAATGCCCAAACATCAAAGGTTTTTTTTGGGGAGTGGTTGGGGGGGAACCTTCTTGGCAAGTCTGAGAACTTTTCAGTGCCTATATATATATATATATATATATATATATATATATATTATACGTATCGAATTGCTTATATGGATATGTTACTGTAAACTAAAATGCATACACTGGTATGTATGTATCTATGCATATGATAGTACCACCCCAAACAAACACAGAAGTATATTCCCCCTCCTGTCAACAAACATAGTCAAACAAGTATAAATAGATCCAATTTTAAAAAATAAACCAGTTTGTTTGATGATCGCAAAAAACGTGAAACTCAGTGTCACAAACTCATATCCATACAACTTAGTCTCTCTCTCTCTCTCTCTCTATATATATATATATATATATATATATAGAGAGAGAGAGAGAGAGAGAGACACACACACACACACATATACACACACACAGATTATGCTTGAGTTTTTATGATCATTTTTTTTTTTGCACTATACACAGGTAACTGTTTTTTGAAGAGGTTAAAAATCATGCATTTTGAGTCACTGGTTGCAATATGCACAGGTAATTTTTTTCAGGAGGGTTTAAAATTCAGGCAAGAAAGTTCTGGGGTCATACTATGCATGAATTCAGCTTATACATGTTTATAAATATATATATTATCTATATCACTTTTCAGACTGAACAACTACTACACTTTGATCCAAGAGAAAGAACTGGATAGTAACATTTTAAAACAAGTGTCATTCAATAACTAATCCTGTAATTCTTTTTAATGCAAGCTTTTTAATAAAGCTCAATTAGAATCTAAGAAGTGTAACTTGTGGTTGTCTTTTCAAAATAACTTTTTGTGTAAGTATCTCTTAAGTGAAAAATATTTTTCTAATTTGAGGGAAGTTAATTCTTACCTGATATACATGATAACTGTCAGAAGCACTACCTCGTAAAAAGGCCGAGGGAATCCAAACATGAACAAGATTTCGTGTGTTCAGAGATAAACTTAAAAAACAATAAAGAAAGAAATCTTATTTTAAATAAAAAATACTTTATATCATTTCAAACTTTGAGCAAAAATATTTTTTAGGTTAAAGCAAATTTAAAATAAAAAAAAAAATGTTGTTTTCATTTTTGTTTATAAAAAAAAGCCTTAAGCAGAATTCTTTTTAACCTAGCCATTAAAACATAAATAAAACTTAAATAAAATCTATTTTTTATTTTTAAATGATTAAAAAAAATCTTTTCAAATACATATCCCTAAATAAAGAAATAAAAATGTAGTGTTCCAATTTTCAGTATTAAAAAATATATATTGAGTCTTCAGTGTCATAATGTAGTAAAGATCAAAACACTCGTGCAGTTATCAGTTTCTGGAGTTTTACAAAATAGGAAATTTCATTTTTATATATAATCTTCTTAAAGTATCATTTTACAAAAATAAAATAAAAAATAAGAATGAATAATGACAAGACATCAGTGTTGAAAGGGAAACTGGCAAGCTGAGTTCAAATTCTGGGAAAGATCTCAATCTATCTCCTCCCTCCCTAGCGATGGATTAAATAGCTGAGTAGATTGGACTCTTTAGCCTTGGCTAGGAACAAGTCTAAGAGAAAGCAAACTCTGAATTCTAAATCATGAAGAAGGAAATGGGAAAATATGCCACTATCTTTCCCACATAATAAAAACAAAAAGCAATATGTAGATAATGATAATTGCTTATGTTCTTAAGGGAAGTGTTATTTTTATTATTTATTTGTCATCATAAAAACAAATTTAAAAAAGTTAGCAAAGAAAGGAAAGGTACGAGGAGAAGAGAAAAATAAAATACATTGTAATTGTGAAAATAGTAAAAATTTACAAAGCCAAATAATAAAAACTAAACAAGTGGATTGAAAAGGGAAAGATTTTGTTGATAAAGAGTCATATACTTACTTATCCACATCTATAGACAGATTTTCTGAATAGCTGGAAACCTCATTAGGAAGCTGGAAAAGAAAAACCTCATTAGGAAGCTGGAAAAGAAAAAAATAATTTGCTGAATATCAGTGAAAGTAATCAACAAAATAAAATTACCAATAATTAAGTCCAAGGGCCATATTTGTTTGAGACATATTTACTGAGTTTGGCACAAGGTTACAACAGTGGGGGCATTCAATAGGAATCATTCCCAGTAAGCTATTAAGGGCCTTTAAAACCAGCTTATCAACCATTACTTTACAGCAAACATCTCAAATATTTACCAAGCTTAGCTTAGTTGCCATCATTCATTAACCATCACTCTACAACAGGTACATTATCATATTTCTATTATAAAGATAAAAGTCACATTTGCTTGTACTATTTTTGCAGATTTCATGTACAAAAGTGGAAAGGAACATTGTGATTAAATTCAAAGAAATAATTTTTATAAAAAATCTAAAGCCTATACATATAAAATATTAAAGTTGACAAACTGTGAGCAAAAGTGGAATTAAAATTTAATTAGAATGCTATAATTTTTTTCAAAAGAGATTACTGTGACAGAATTTAGGATTCTTAATAAAAATAAAACAGTCTATCTCTAATATTTGTTTAAAAAACAAACATAATCCCTAAGTTATTGATTTAAGAAAGACACAATCTATGTTTCAAGACTGAAAATCAAACTCATGAAAATATTAAACAGACATTACAAATCTCAAGTATTTTCAATCAACTCATCTAATTCTTTTAGCACTGACATTACAAACAAGTTGAATAGAAACACAAGAAAATTTGGAAACCAAACTAAAAAATAGTGCCTTAAATATACAGAATCATATTATCTTCAGTTTTTCTCCACTAAAAATTTTTTTTGTATTTTTCTTGACAAAATATCTAAAAAGCTATTTCACATTGGCTTCCATATTTGTTCACTACATTTATATTTTATGTTTTCATATTTTATTTGTATATAGCTTTTTAAATAAAAATACAAATCACTTTATCTCAATATTCTGAGCATATACAAATAAACTTTAAATCAACAAAATTAACTTTTTTGTTTGTTAAATCTAATGTTTTGCTTCAGTTGTTTCAAGTCTGCAAAATTTTGGTATTATTGATGAATCATTAAAATTAGGATCATCATCTTCATTTTGATAAATGGGATCTTCAACCTTCCTCAAGTAATTTTTTTTATACCTTTAATCTCTTCATTCATCCAAATGACAAATTCATCATGTAATAGAAATATTTTTGTATTTGTTTATTTTGTTTAAATTGCTTTAAATCAATCTATTTATAGCCACTGTCAGCTTTAATTGTTCTAGAAACAAAAATTTTGAGTAAAAGCAGAAAATGATGATACAGAATTATCATCAGGGCTGTTTATTAGAATGAAATGAAAATATAATCTGAAAGAGATTTATGACTGAACAATGGGTACATACTGGTCCCCGTAGATTCACCAGTTCCTGCCGTAATTGTTTGATAAATGTATCTTGGGACTGAATCTTGCGATGTAAAACTTCATTAAATTCCATCAATTCTCCATGCATTTCAGCAACCTGAAAAAATGTAGATAAATTGATTTGTGGAACAAATAAACAGATAATTCTTTTTCCAATTATGTCAACAATGAAAGAGAATTTTCATTATTAAACATTTAAAAAAAAACAATTACTTTTAGCTTTTTCATCTGCATTTTATTTTTTTAGTTCTATATAACAAAATTATTAGTCTATTCATTTTTCAACTATTAAATTAATCTGTAGAAATTCAGAATAAGAAACAGCTTAAACTAGGTACCGCCACAGATTTGTAATACCTAAGGTTTAAAATGAATTTTTAAAATGAAAAATCTTTCTTGAAATTTTTATTTTAGTTTTAATTTCAAACTAATATATTAAATTTGATATTTCCAATAAGCAAAATGCTTTGCTGTATTTCAAAAACTAATTTAAATTGACTGGAATGATTTTATTTATTTATTTTTTTTTTTGCTAAAAAAACTCATTTCAGCCCCATTTTTAGCCGTTGTTTATTGCAATGTAATTCTCTTTATTAAAAAAAATCTTCCAAAAATAAAATATACATTTTTGAAACTTTATTTGAAGAATATTAGCCAATTTAAATTATAATTAATCTGATTTGAAACAAATATTATTTACTTTAAGTTTAAAATATTGCAGAAATATATTATTTTAACATGGTAGTAGCAGTTTATTTAAGATGTTAACAACTTGATAGATGAATGTTTATCTAATGTTTTTCTACACTGGCTATATCTGTAAAAAATAATTGAATATATAATGTGAGCACCATTTTTATATAATTTTTAAGTACTCAGTTAACTTAAAAATTTAGAAAAATATTCTCTGTAATCTAATGTTTTATTGAATTTTAGTTACTTTGGCTTTAAATTTACTATAGTTATCACATTTATTTTCTGATAATGTGGTGTATGACATCCATATCTACAAAAATCGGCACAGTTATACACAGACAAAAAAAAGTCAAAATTATTTGAATATAAAAATAAAATAAAATTATTTTATTTCTTAACTCCTTGATGTTGACAAATCCTGCAAGGAAGCTCTTGTAGGGTGAAATAGCTATTCAAATGGGGTAATTTTGAATTTCTATTCTATGTAAATTATATATATATCATGTTTAAAATTTGCTGTTTTTATGAGGGAAGAGTGCTTAATATTTGAAGTATGAAACTGACAGTCACCATGCAGTGTGAACACTGTCTATAGCTATATAAAAAAAACACATGTTTATATAAACTTATCACCTGTATAAGCTTTTTCTCATATTCTGAAGCTTCATGGCTGTAGTCAATGTTGGCTTTCGGGGGTGGAATCACTGGTTGCAACTCATCCAAATGGATGCCCAAAGACCCTAAAAATTCAAAATAATAAAAAGAGAAAACATTCATCTTCTATAAACTAACAGCAAATATTCAAATTTCCCATTCAATATAAAAAGAAAATCTATATTGTCAAGTAAAACTCAATTGTTTATATATAAATTGTTTAGTGTTAAAGTGGATCCAGTGAGAACTATCACCTAGGCATTACTGGTAGTGTAACTATTTGAATACAAAATGATTTTGGTATAAAAGCTACCAGACCAAGTGGATCTGAAGCAGGCAACCATATTGGAATTCACATATTCACTTTCACACAAATACCCTTGGGAAAGGTATGAATTTGTCTCTCCTCCTTTCAGCTGTAGGTTAAATAGCAGGGCAGACTAGGCTCTCTTGCTGTGGTTGGCAACCAATACAGGAGAATGAAAACTGTATTCAAAACAGTATTGTTATAAAATAAAATAAGACATGTCTCGGCTGATTTACAGGCAAATACTCAAGAGCGAGAACCGGATGTGAACGGGACAAAGCCCCGTCACAAAATGACCATTATCTTTCTTTACAAATGTTTCTGACACATGTGTTCCGGTCGAAAAATAAAATAATATTTAAAGTGCTCTATTTTTCGTCCAATAAAAATGCTTCCCTCCTAATTATACTCGCTTCGTTTCTCGAGCCTGTTAAGCCATAAAAAAACGCTATAAAAGGGGTCACACGGAAGTTCAACGCAGTCCACAGGTGCCCAGGATAGAGACCTGTACATAACTGTATTGTAACTAAGGCCTGCTCAGCATAGTTACAGTATAAACCACAGGTTGAGTCTGTGGGTGTGGAAGAAACACAAATAGGCCTGAGTAGATGGGCATGCTTGGAAACAAGCAACCATAACTAAAGATGAGTAATATGTCTTCAAGTCGAAATAATGCTGATGATGATACTGGAATAGATGCTGACCTGAGAGATTTATCAGAATTTCCCAACCTCAGATATGGACAATTTTTATTATAGGTTTAAGTTCTTATATAATAAATATGGTGTTGCTTTCAAAGATAAAGAATCCTAACATTTGTAAAGCAAGCCAAAGCATTCAATTAAATGGGGTTATTAAAGAAAAACAAAGAAAGGAAGAAAGGGAAGAAAAAAGAGAAAGGGAAGAAAAAGAAAGGGAAAAAAAGAGAAAGGGAAAAAAAGAGAAAGGGAAAAAAAGAGAAAGGGAAAAAAAAGAGAAAGGGAAAAAAAAGAGAAAGGGAAAAAAAGAGAAAGGGGGAAAAAAGAAAGGGGGAAAAAAGAAAGGGGAAAAAAAGAAAGGGGGGGAAAAGAGCTTGCCTTCAGCTTTTGGTCCTTCTTTTCTCAGTAGCTGGACAGCATTGACATATTTCTTTAACTGGTGCCGCAATAATTCATTCTCCCTAAAACATTAAAATTATCATGATTTTCACTATTTACATTATTTGGACTATTGTCCTCATCTTTGTTGCCATATTTATTACAATGTTTCAGACGTTGTACGCTCTGGCCTTATTCAGGTGGTTGGAACTAGAACAGTTTACCCCAGTGAGTGAAATAAAGGGTTCAGTTCGACATTCCAACCACCTGAATAAGGCCAGAGCATACAATGGCCAAAACATTGTAATAAATATGGCAACAAAGATGAGGACAATAGACTAAATAATGTAAATAGTGTACAATATAGCTTATCTCAGAAATATAGACACATCATGTTTTTGTTTTTTTATTGCCACATCTTAGAATCTAATCATTTCTGAAACTGGCTTGAAATGAAGATAGTGTTTATTATTAAATTAAAATAACTCACAATTTTATAAAAAATATAAGAAATTAATTTATAAAAGTCAGTTTTAATACTAAAAATACAGACATCAAATATTTTTACATAATTTTTCTATATATTTAAAAGAAATTCACTAATTTCTTTTTCAAGTAGGCACTTGAATGACCAAATTGCCAATTTCTAAATTAGTAATTATTCTGAAATTAATAAAATTATTATTTAAATGAAAAATGAAACTTACTTTTGTAAGGACTGAATCTTGCAGTTGTCTTTTTCTTGAAGGACAGACATTTTTGTGTTAATGTCTTTGAGTTCAGCCCGTAGTGCAAGTGAAGTCTCTTGCTCCTGAGATAAAAGCGTTTGTAAAGACCTAAGAAGAAAAAACTGAATTGCATCAACTGATTGCACAAAGATATTTTTTTATGAAAACCATAACAGTTGAAATTCATTCAATTAATCCTGATTAAATTACAACTGAATACACAGAATTCAATTATACCACAAAAATACTAATAAGGAAAAAAGGTAAAAGTCTACCTTTGTATTGATGTTACAATCCCAAATGAAGTTTACATCTCTTTTGATAAAAAAAGAATATAAAGTATATGTTGTGGTTCACTACTACTGCCAAATCCAAAAGCAGGATTGAAAATGGAAGAGATCATTTAAGATCTGATTGTGTGATTGATCACTTAAGTACCAAGTCAGCTGAAGAACAATCAATAACCAGAGAAAATCAAAGGACACTTGTTGCCCTGTGGAAAATTGGCAACCCTAAAAGTTGTTTATTTCTCCTCATGACATGAAGCTGACAGAATTCAGTTATAGGCAGAATATTTTTAAAAATAAGTATAAAGACTGGGTCACTATCACCAACACACCGATTCATCTGTCCTCTTCCATAAGGGTAATCAGAGTTTGATTTTTTCAAAAACTCTTGTTTTCTTGCTAAAATTTTGCAACATTTCTATTGTATCTCTTTCTTTTGTGTGTGTGTGTGTGTATATATATATATATATATATATATATATATAAGCAAGAGAAAGAAAGAGAGAGATGTATATAAATGTGTTTCTCATAAATCTCCACAGATACAAAAAATTTCAAGACATTATCACTTTTTGGAAATTGCCAAGTAATTATTTCTATATGAAAATAAACAGTAAGGCATTCTCAAAGATCCAACCATTGATATTAATATGTGAATAAGTCTAGTAATAAATGTTACTTATTAAAGATCTACCAAGCAGTAAATATATCTACACAAGCAGATAACAATTTCAACTTGAAAAAGGACATTTTTTTTTCAAAAGATTTACAAAATTTCAGTAACTATGAAATATAAGAATGATTGGTATTCTTAGAATAATTTGAATACTGGATGCATCTAGAGAAAAGATACCCACATATTAATGAATAAAACAATAGAAAATTTGTTGTTGTTATTATTAAAATAATAGAGTGTGAATGCATTGTTTAGATCTTTTAGTAAAACTTGACATAACCCAATCAGTAATAGAAATTTAGATTTGAAATAATAGTGTAGGGATTTATATAAAATCTTCTCCTAGCAGTTAGATGACCCAGATGAGTTATTGCTTGTGATTTACCTCAAGTCCCCGCTGAGTCAGGTTGTGACACAAGGTCGGTTTTTAAGGTGGGGACTCAAGTGTTTCCACTCAGGGCGCTGGTCTAAACTGGTCTTAGCTTGCCAAAGTTGGTCATAGCTTGTCTAAGCTAGTCAAAGTTGGTCATGCCATTGCTACATAACAGACATTATGCAACAGGAGGAGAATGCAAAGGAGGGAAAAAGGCCTTCAGCATGGAACAGATACTACAACCACAGCATCTACTCCGACAAGAAAAACCCCCTTCTCCTTCTCTGCCAATCCCTCTTGGAAGAAAAATCCCCAGATGAGATAGTGCCCTTGGCACATTAGAGAACTAGTCAGAGATTTCAGCATGATAGATATCAGATGTGTCATCAGACTCATACACTTGTTGAATATACAATAAAGAAGATATTCTTAAGTATTAATCAGTAACCTCACCTTGGCTTAAAGGTAGAAATCTTTTTCAAATAATGACAATTACTTTTTGCAAGTATTATGTTTATGTTATGTTGTGTCTTTTGTGTTGTTCATGTTACTAAATTAGTGAACATTATTTTTCATTCCTCCTTTTTATTTTTCTTAGTAACTCGTATTTATATGCTTGGGAGTTCCTCGAGGTATAGAGCCATTATTCAATAACAACATAACAATAGTATGAGTATCAGAGTGGATGACAAGTAATTTGTAATATTTATTATGAATAAAAGATACAAAACATCAATTTATTTGGAGATTATGTTTTATATAGAAAAATGTGTACATTTAGAAATTGATAAAATACACATTCACTGGAGTTTTATTTTCAATTAAAAGATCTCTAGGTTTAATAAAATAAAAATTATAGCAAGAAGTCAATTAAGTATTAAAAACAAGTTCCTAAGCATGGAATGTATAAAAACAATTCTATATTTAAAAACAATTCTCTTCAACCAGTTTTACAGCTTTTGGCTGAATTGTTTTCTTAATCATTGTATGTGGCCTCCTTCAGACTAATTTTCTCATCTTTTTTTTTTCTTTTGATGTTTGAGCCAATTTTCTTTAAGTGTCTCATGTTCCAGAATGTTGCTGAATCTTATTTTAGCAGTATATATACATTTCTTCCAAGACATGGCAGGTCTAATTTTTGTATCTCTGGTTTTGTGTTTCTTTCCTTCCACCTCAAGAGCAGATAAACTCTTTTTATATCTGTTGTGTAGGAAACCTACCACCCCTCTTGAAGATGAACTTGTCTAAAAACAAAGACGTTAAATAGTGGCATGTCAAAAGACAGAGAGAGTCGGAGAAGTTCTTGGCTGAGTTAGTTATAGACTACTCAGGCGATTTCTGTACCTACTTACCAACCGAATAAACCCCTTTTATTGTTACGTGTTATTTGGCGTTTGTCTTTATTAACACCAAATCAACATCATAACAGTGGCGACGAGAGATTCGTTCATCACGAGAATTTTTCAACTCTTGGTGGACTATATAATTTTTTTTTTTCTCGCACTGAAAGAAAAAAAAACAATACGTCGAACTTTGTTCTTCACGAAGAAATAGGATTTCAACGTGCCCAAAAGAAGTCAGACTTGTGCTTATTGTTGGATATATATACATGTTTTTCCCTTTTTTGACTGTTTTCGAAAAGTGTTTTGTGTAATTTATTACGCATAATGGAAGATTTGATTGCATTAACGAAAACTCTAGTGCAAAGTCAAATTCAGCAACAAGAGCAACAAAGATTGCAACAAGAGCAACAAAAATTGTTTCGGGAACAACTATTGGATTTACAAGTTCAGCAGCGAAAATGACACAAAGGCTTTATTTGAAGCAATTTTACTTAAGAATCCAGTAAATTCGTCATTCACGGCCGAAGGTATTGCTAATTCTATTACTGAGTTCAAATTTAACCCAGAGGAGGGAATAACATTTCCTGTGTATTTCAGAAGATTTGAAACAATATTTGAAAAAAAATGTGACGGTTGGACTGATGAACAAAAAGTGAGTTTACTTTTACAAAAGTTGGGTACAGATGAAAATAATAAGTATACGAATTTTGTCCTTCCAAGAAAAACTAGTGACATTTCTTTCGAAGAAACTGTTAATATTTTATCTAGTATTTTTGGTGAGCGAGTTAGTTTGTTTCATACTCGTTTCTCGTGTTTGAATATGGTAAAGCATGACGATGAGGATGTTGTTACGTATGCTGGAAATGTTAATAGAATGTTTGAACATTTTATGTTACATGATCTTTCAATTGATCGATTTATATGTTTGATATTCGTTCAAGGGTTGACTTCTAGCAAAGATAAGGACATAAGGTCCCGAATATTGGCAAAACTCGAACAAGATTCCGAGATCACTTTGCAGAAGGTTACGGAAGAATGTCAAAGAATTGAAAACTTAAAACATGACAATACGCAAAATTGAAGAAAAAAGACGTATCCCATGTCCATGCTATTCGACCAAAAAAAAGGAATAGTTAATAAAAACGTTAAAAACCAATGTGCTTTGGATGCGGTGGTGGTCATTTTAAAAGTGAATGTTTTTTTTCATGACAAAATTGCTATTCGTGTGGCAATAAAGGCCATATAAGTACTCATTGTAAAAGGAAAAGAAAAAAAATTTAAGTCGAAAAAATGTGAATATTGTATTGTCACGTCAGAGATTGAGGAGGGCAGAAAAGAAAATTCGTACAGGTAAAAAATTAATGGAAAAAAATGTTAAACTACAGCTAGACACTGGAAGTGATATTTCCATTATTAATACAGCAACATGGATTAAAATAGGTAGACCTTTGCTTAAAAAAGACTGAAAAAGTGGCTCATGGGATTTCTGGAAGAAAATTGCATTTTCAAGGTGAATTTTCTTGTAATATTTCATTTGTTGGTAAGACATTAAAGTCTAAAGTGTATGTGCTACAAAATGCTTCAAATTTGTTTGGAACAGATTGGATTATACTGTTTAATTTATGGGAACTCCCTATAAATTCTTTTTGCAATAGAATTAATGTTTCTTCTTTGTGTAAAAATCAGGTTACAGAAAATTTGTTGAAAGATCTGAAAATAAAATTTCCACAAGTATTTTCAGAAGGTCTTGGATGTTGCAAAAGGTGAAGGCAAAATTTGAAGTGAAGGAAAATGTAAAACCTATTTTCAAGCGAAAAAAGAAATGTGCCATTTGGTGTTTTGGAACAGACTGACAAGGAATTGGAACGGCTTGAAAATTTAGGGAGTTATTTCACGCATTGAATTTTCAGAGTGGGCCTGCCCTGTTGTATATGTTAAGAAAAAAAGAATAATAAAATTCAGATGTGTGCCGATTTCTCTACGGGTCTAAATGATTGCTTAAAAGACCACATATATCCTTTGCCTTCACCAGAAGACATTTTTGCAAGTTTAAGTGGAGGAAAAATATTCTCTAAATTGGATTTATCGGATGCCTATCTCCAAGTGAAAGTGGACGAAGAATGTTCTAAATTGTTGACTATCAATACACACAAAGGGTTTATACAAATTTAACTGTTTGCCGTTTGGTTTGAAAGTATCCCCTAGTATTTTTCAGCAAATTATGGACACTGTGCTGGCAGGATTGAACTTCGCCATTGCATATCTTGATGATGTTTTGATAAAAAGTAAAGATCGAAATGAACATTTGGAACATATTAATAAGGTTTTTGAAAAATTGAAGAATATGGATTCAAACTTGCAGCTGAAAAATGTGAATTTTTTATGAGTGAAATTAAGTTTTTGGGGCAGATAATAGACTCTGATGGAAGAAGACCAGATCCGGCGAGGGCAGAAGCGATCAAAAGCATGCCAACTCCCAAAAATGTAGTAACGCTACAAGCGTTCTTAGGACTTGCTAACTATTATGGGATATATATTCCTAATTTGTGCAGCCTTACGGCTCCATTAAATAAATTGCTTAAAAGGAGCAAAGTGGGAATGGTCAGAAGTGTGTCAGAAGGCGTTTGACAAAATAAAGAATATTTTGACGTCGGAATTATCACTAACACATTATGACCCTAAACAGGAAATTATAGTGGCATCGACGCAAGCGAAGCACGGAATAGGTGCGGTAATTTTGCATAAATTCAGAGACGGCAATACAAAGCCAGTGGCACATGCATCAAGGACATTATTACCCGCAGAAAAGAAGTACTCTCAAATTGAGAAAGAAAGCTTAGCTATCATCTATGCTTGTAAAAAATTCCATAAGTACATACATGGAAGAAGGTTTATATTGCAGACCGACCATCGCCTGCTGCTTTCAATCTATGGTTCAAAGAAGGGTATACCTACTCATACGGCAAACCGTTTTGCAATGATGGGGAACCATTTTGTTGAATTACAATTTCAAAATGGAATTTTATCATCTAAAAATTTAAGCCATGCTGATGGTTTATCTAGGCTGATCCCAACGTCTTCAGAACCGCTAGAAGATACGGTGATAAAGCGTCATTACAAGCAGAAAATGAATTGGTGGAAGTAATGTATAACACAGTAAAAGAATTACCGGTGACATTAGATGAAATAAAATTAAAATCAGAAAATGACATTTTTATTAAAAAATGAAAGAAGTTGTAACTTCAGAAAAGTATAAAACTTCTTCACCAGCATATTCAATATGTGATGAAGTGCTGTTATATGCTGAAGGGTCGTGATACCGGTTGTACTACAAAAGTGGATTTTGAAGGAATTTCATCAGGGGCATCCTGGTATTGGACGTATGAAAGCCCTGATGAGGAGTTACGTTTATTGGCCAAATATGGACAAAGACATTGAACAGGTAGTTAAAACTTGTAGAGGGTGTCAAATGGCAGCAAAGCACCGCCAGTAAAATACACACCATGGCCAAAAACAGATGTTCCATGGACCAGACTCCACATAGATTATGCTGGACCCATGAATGGTAATTTTACTTGATAGTTGTGGATAGCTATTCCAAGTGGCCTGAGGTTTTTAAGTGCAAAAAAGACCAACTGCTTCTGTAACAAAAGGTTTTCTTACAGAACTGTTTGCACGGTTTGGAGTACCAGAAAAAAATTGTCACAGACAATGGAACTCAATTCACAGGAAGTGAATTTAAGACGTTTTTGTAAGACTCTGGGAATTGACCACATCACGACTTCACCGTACCATCCTAGGTCAAATGGACAGGCTGAACGGTTTGTTGATACGTTCAAGAGAGCCCTCAAAAAAACAAATGGTACTAATACAGATGATGGTAATATACAGCAGTTTTTAAGTATATACAGAATAACACCAAATCCAAACGCAATATCAGGGATGTCTCCAGCTTTACTGATGTTTGCTAGAAAAATTAGATCTGTATTCAATAGGCTGCTGCCGGAAAGAAAAAAAAGTTACCAGAATAAAACGCATCAGGAAAATATGAAATATTCAGGCCGGGAGATAAAGTTTTTTTTAAAAATTACAAAAATGGGAAGGAATTTTGGCAAGATGGAGTGGTAACGCAAAGAATTGGTAAAATGTTGTACATGATAAGAAGTAAAAAATGGACGCACAAAAGACATTTAAACCAATTAAGGAGAAGAAACATGGAAGAAATAAGTACAAAAAATGAAGAACCAATGGAGGTATTATATGATTTATTTGATATGCCAACTCCACCATTGCCTGAAACAGTTGTCCAAAGAAGGACAAGCAAAAGAAAAGAACGAGGGTGGAACGTTTAAGTCCAGATCCCAAAGGAAAAGATATTAATTCCTCCGGAATTAATCTCAAGGGGGAGGTGTTGTGTAGGAAACCTACCACCCCTCTTGAAGATGAACTTGTCTACAAACAAAGACGTTAAATAGTGGCATGTCAAAAGACAGAGAGAGTCGGAGAAGTTCTTGGCTGAGTTAGTTATAGACTACTCAGGCGATTTCTGTACCTACTTACCAACCGAATAAACCCCTTTTTATTGTTACGTGTTATTTGGCGTTTGTCTGGGGTCATGGTACTGTCCTCACACAACTTCCACCATATTGACTTTGTGATTGCTCATCATAGTTTCATTTTGGTAATATCACAAAATATTCTAACCACACATGCAGAAAACAGCAGTTCTAGTGTTTTATTATGTAATATATCAAAAAAGAAAAACAGTAGTGATCCCCTCTATAAGTAAATGTAGATACTTTTTCAATGCATGTGTATCTGTGGCTAGGACAGCAGTGAAGTTTTTAAAATGAAGTGGATATTAATAAACTGTAGAAAAAGACATTTTAGTCTTGTCATGATTGTTACAAATTTAAGTATAAAGAGATCAAATTACTAGACAAGACTTTTAAGTAAATATTGATTTGAAATCTTAACATTTGAACACTGAAATTCTATCTTAAAAAATTATTTTATCCTTACCTGTTCTGGTCTTCCACTTGATCTTTTCTTAACATCATAGTGACAATAGCTTGCTTCAGTTCCACTATAAAAAGATTGAAATAATTAAAAAATGAAGCAAATATTTTAAAATGGATTATTTTTAGCTTAAATAGAGATGCACATATTAATTTATTGATAAATCTTTGCCTATCAAACATACAATATTAGAATTTATACTAAATCACATTACATAAGAATAGCTACATCCTCTTCATATCTATTTTTTTAAATTTGAGAAAATGAAGACCCCCAAAATTGAATAATTCATTACAAGATTGTAACCATGCAAAATAAGAAAAATATTTACAGGAAACAAAAGGAAAATATAACTTGGAGGTGTAAACATGATAAACATAAAAACCAAGTGATATATCATAAAAATTAAGTTTATGAGGGACTAACAGCAACACTGTTACTTTTCTGTTATTCCTCAGTCGGTTTTTGCTTCCCAACCTATGTGAATATCTTTCTGTTAATCCTCAGTCGGTTTTTGCTTCCCAACCTATGTGAATATCTTTCTGTTAATCCTCAGTCGGTTTTTGCTTCCCAACCTATGTGAATATCTTTCTGTTAATCCTCAGTCGGTTTTTGCTTCCCAACCTATGTGAATATCTTTCTGTTAATCCTCAGTCGGTTTTTGCTTCCCAACCTATGTGAATATCTTTCTGTTAATCCTCAGTCGGTTTTTGCTTCCCAAACTATGTGAAAAACTTTCTGTTAATTTTTAGTTGGTTTTTGCTTCCCAACCTATGTCAAAATCTATTTGTAAGCATGTTCTGCACCCGCATCATATTAGTTTGATGATTTATAGTTTTAAATATCAGTACAATGCTGAATATACAGTCAGAAGTAGTAGGTGAGAATTGATTGGCAATGCTAAGATTAGTAGAATCCAGTGTGATGATCTGTATTTTCTTATCAATATGTTCAGTTCTGCAATTGCAGAACACCTCATAACTAATGCGATTTGTGCTAGTGTTTTTTTTTCAATTATCAGCAGTGTAAATTTCAGATTATCATCTCAAAGTACTTCAGTCCTTATTAGATCTAAGCAACCATCCCTTTGTAAGCAGAAGAAGTAGCTCTGAGGTTTTAATGTTATCTGTTTGTGACTCATATTGGTGTCTCTGGTAACAATAACCAGCTAGTTTTTCTTTTTTTCAAATAAATTTTGTTTTTCAAATAAAATTTTTACATAAATATATATTTTCTTGCTCTTCTTCCCCTTCTTTTAATACACACACACACACACACACACCTGATGCCCCCACCAATCGCTAACACAAACCCATTCTCATTAACAAGGCATCTACGAGAGGAGGACTGACATTGAAAATAAATTTAAAACAATGCTCCAAGACAGACACTTAAGGGATGATGATAGTTGTGTACAGAATGAAATAGGCTAACTTCTATGTTGAGGTAATTTTTAGTTTTTTGCTGTAATATATATATATATAAGCATGTATAAATATATGAGAGATGCTATAGAAATTAACCAGTGGCATAAAACAGCAAAAACCATAAAATGGTTTACTAATATAAAAAAGAACGAATGTACATTCATCCAATTTGATATTTGTAACTTTTACCTGTCTATCACTGAGAATCTGCAAATGTCTGCCATCAATTTAGCTAAAGATTATTGTCCTAGTAGTGATCATGAGATTAAAATCTTAAAGCAGCTGCAAAAACCTATATTATTTCATAATGGTCATCTGTGGACCAAAAGAAAGAACACAGAATTTAACATTGCTATGAGTGTGTTTAGATTCTGCAAAGGCAGGCAAACTTGTTGAAATGTTGGAATCTTGTTACTGTGATGATTAAGATTTATTTTCGACATTAAGGATACTGGACTTTACAGAGATAATGGTGAAATTCTATTCTATAAAACAGGTCCAAGAAACCTGATCAATCGAGAAAGGAACTGATTAAATTCTTCAAAGATCACAAATTAAAAATTTCCACAACCACCAATGCTAAAGTGACCAACTTCATTGATGTGATCTTGGACTTGAATAATGGTTATTACAAATCGTATACCAAAGATCTACATAACCAAAAAGTATGTTAACAATGAATTCAATCATCCACCTTCTATTTTAAATAATTTGCATAAATCCATCCAATTTAGATTATCTACTATCTCCAGCAATAAGGAAATATTTGATAATAATAAAATTAAATATATAAAAGCATTAGAAATAAGCAACCATGAAGTAAATTTAGAATATTTATAAAAAAAAAACACAAAAGGTAAAAATAAACAGAGACACTGTAAAGTGTTATGGCTTAACTCTCCTTATAATCGTAATGTTCAAATAAATATTGGAAGAATTTTCCTAAATTTAATTCATAAACACTTTAATCACTTTGCAATACTAAAGAAGATTTTTAATAAAATATAGCTGCATTAAAAACATTGAAAATCGATATGCCAACATAACAATATTATAATAAAGAAATATATGTCTGTTGTGTCGGAAACCTACCACCCCTCTTGAAGATGAACTTGTCTGCGTCTGCGAACAAAGACTTTAAATAGTGGCATGTCAGTTGACATGGGGAAGACAGATAGACAGAGAAGTTCTTAGCTGAGCTAGTTATTAACTACTCGGGCGATTTCTGTACCTTTTTACCAACCTATTAAAACCCTTTTTATTGTTACATGTTATTTGGCGTTTGTCTCTACTAACCCCAAATCAACATCATAACAATGTCCAACAAAGACAACAACGTTAACCATTTAAAATAAATGCAACTGCTCAAAAAATATGATTTGTCCCTTAAACAGTCAATGTAGGACTGATAATATTGTATACTAAGCTAGCATACATTCTGGTAACAATGTCAAATTTTATTTTGGTTCCACTGAAAATCCTTGGAAATTTTGTTTCTATCATCATTGAATGACTCTAGGCAATGTTTCCCTAATTATGAGTTGTGTATGGCTATGTGATTTGAAAAGAATCTTTGTGTTGTCAACCAGAATTTACCTTAAAATTTACCTTGTAAATTATGAGTTAATAAATGTTTATTAATCGCACTCTGCTTCAAAAGGTGGTTAGGTAAGTTGTCTACTTTAGGAGATAGTGGTGTGTCTGATATAGGTCATTGGTTTTTGATAAGTAATACAGTTTTGTATTGGGCATTGGTACACTATATTGGTCACCACTAGTTTAGATTTGGTGGGGTTATTTTGATGATGATGACGATATTTGCAGTCTTCCATTTTCTATAAGATATTATAAACTTTATATATAGCTGTACACAACTCATAATTAGGGAAACATTGCTTATTAATTATTATTTGCTTGCTATCAATGTTACACTATTTAACAGTGAAGATAGCATGTTAAAAGTTTTCTAAAAACAGTTGTAACAATGGATGATTCCTATATATCCTTTAACCACTGAAAAATGAAAAAAATGTTAGAATACTGGAAAATTCAATAAAAGATTAATTAAATCTTCTTTGTCAGGCATTTTCAATGAGACATGCTTGAAAGAAAGGTTGCTGCCCAAATACACATTAATTAAATTACATGACCTGGCAGGAATATAACACCAGCACATTCCAGAAAAAATGTGTCGAACAACAGCTAATAAAAGCCAAAGAGAGGCTAGTGCATCTTAAAATGAAAATCCAAAATTACATGGATATCCTTAAAAACACAATGAGCACAACAGAACAAACAATGACCAAATGCTACTTTGACGACATCAACAGTTTGTTAGAATTCAACCAAAAATACATTATAACTAAAAAACAACAACTTATACAATGGAAAGATTGTACTACCCAATGGTAAGTATAACTTCCTGAACTTGTCCGATCACAAACTCACCAACGACCAAGCTGAATTCCTGAATAGCAACCTGAATTGTCACCTCCAACCTAGATATGACCCTTTGAAAAAGAAAACAGATCGAAATTCTATACCAATCTATACAACAGGAAACTCACAACAGCATGTAAATAAACTAATCACAGCAAACAACGCAGATGTCAATAGCTTAAAAATCAAGAAAATAGTTGGCAATTACCAACTGGGATATATGTATGGTAATGTAAAAACCCACAAACCAGGTTTTCCTCTCTGACCTATCATATCCCAAATATCTATACCTGTATACCAACTATCAAAAACCCTCAACCACATAATTTCTCCATACACACCCAACAACTATAACAACACATCAACTAATGACATTCTCCACATCTTGAAAGCAGCAAATCCCATAGGAGATACAATGGCCTTGCTGGACGTCAAAACCCTCTTTACCAACATCTCAGTTGAAGAAACAATCAACATAATTAGCAATGCACTATCCTTTAAAAACTACTTCTCGATTGTACCATTAAAGCTCCATTCTATGACCATAATGGTAACATATATATCCAGTCTAACAATGTTAGCATAGGGAACCATTTAGGTCCTACTTTTACTGACTTTTACATGTCCTACATTGAAAAGAATGTATTTAAAACAACCAATAAACCTGAAATCTACAAAATCTACAGATGGTACATGGATGACATCTTCATTTTGATAGAAAATAAACATGAAATTGCAGAGCTAAAATCAACTTTTGGAAAAATTTCAACATTAAAATTCACATATGAACGCATGGTACATAACAAGATCCCATTCCTCAATGTCCAGATAGAGCTAAAAATTCAAGAAATTTCTCACTTACCTGTATAAAAAACTCACCAGTATGAACTAGATTTCTAAGCTATGATAGCCAATGCCCCAAAAGATATAAAATAGCTGTGAAAACAAACTTCATAAAAAGAGCATACCAAAATTCCTCATCTCAAAGAATATTTCTAAGCAAACTAAAACAAATAAAACAAAAACTAGTCAACAATAATTTTTCCAACTACATCATTGATAAGTAAATAAAATTATTCTTACGAAAAAAATACACAATGCCGGTAACAAAAACACAACACCTCAAAACATCAACAGCTTTTATTACAACTAGATGCACTAATAATTATCAGCAGGATGAATTTGCTATAAGGAAAATCATTAAACACCATATTTCTGCTGTAACCCCTGGAAAACATATAAAGTTCATAATATATTATAGAAAATGGAAAACCACAAACCTCATCATCACCAATTGAAATAATCCCACTAAATCTAAACTAGTGTTGACCAATATTGTGTACCAATTCCAATACCCAATACAAGACAGTTACTTGCCAAAGACCACTGACCCACATCAGGCACACCTTAAGTAGTTGTCTTACATGCCACCTTTCAAAGCAGAGTATGTCTAATAAACATTTATTAAATCATAATTTACAATTTTAAGGAAAATTCTAGTCGACAGCACAAAGATTCTTTTCAAATCACATAGCCATACACAACTCATAATTAGGGAAGCAATGCTTATTAAATATTATTCACCCACTAACAATCTTACACTATTTAGCAGTGGAGAAAACATGTTAAAAGTTTGTCTATATTTCTGAGATGAGGTATTATGTACAGTATTTACATTAGTCGGACTATTGTCCTCATCTTTGTCGCCATATTTGTCACAAACGCTTCGCCGTTTACGCCCCGCCTTCTTCAGGTGGTTGGAATTTCGAACTGAACCCTTTATTTCGATCGCTGGGGTAGACTGTTCTAATTCCACGTGCATGTTTGATGGATGTCAGTTATCAGTTATCTCCTGCTAATTTTTCCCTCTGAAAGTTCTCCTGCCTTAACCAGGAATTGAACTCACCTTCTTTGGGTCTGTCACTGATCTAACCAACGCCTTTATCCACTGTGCCATGTGTCCTTGAGGACATCTGGGTATGATCATCCTGCTGATAATTATTAGTGCATCTATGAACTTCTGAGTATTATAAACCTAATGTTTTCAGCATCATTTTTACCAGTGTTCATATTGCAATTTTTTGCTGTTATCATTGCATGTCTTTACCAGAGTTCATATTGCAACTTTGTTATCATTGCTTTTCTCTGACACTCCTTATTACTGGTTCCCATATTGTATTTATTTCTATGCTTGGTCGGCTCAGGAGATTTTTGTGGCCTAGCATATGTGCTGATTCCTTAAGTTTACGAATTTTCCAATGGTGTTCCCTGTCTATGATCTCAACATGATCCCACAGGGGCGGTGATCTCCTTCTCTCTCCATATGTGGTCAGCCACGCCTGATTTTTCTACTTCCCCTCGTGTTACAGCTTTCTGGTGTTCTTGAAGCCTTACCTTGAGGGGGTGGCCTGTCTCCTTTATATTCCTTTCCGTTAGCTGCATGGGATAGCGTATACACAGTCTTTAGTCATGTTCCTCTCTATGGGGGGTCTCACTGTGTGAGAGATACCTGCAAGTGTTGTCACGCTTTTGAAGGTTGTCCTGATGTTATATGGACCGCAGATCCTTTGTATTTTCTCTGATAACCCCTTCACATAAGGCAGGCAGACTGTTTTCTGAGTGTTGTTGTCCTCCTCCTCTTGTACCCGCCTATCCCAGTTTTTGGGGGCTGCTGCCATGTACCCAGGGTAGTTGTTGCATTATAGGGTACTACTTATACTGACCAATTCCTTATCTAACGTCTCTGGATCGCCACTTATGACTTTTGCTCAATGTTGTAAGCATCGGACGATCCCTTTCTTTACGCTGTATGGATGGTGGGAGTTGAAATTGAGGTACTGTCCGGTGAATGTTGGTTTACGGTATACGGATGTCTTGAACCCATTCTCTGTTCGAGATATTAGTACATCCAGGAATGGGAGTGAGTTGTTACTCTCTTTCTCCATTGTGAACTGTATCGAAGGTCTTATTGAGTTCACATGGTCCAGAAGAACCTGGACTTCTTCCTGATGTGGCCAGAGTATGAAAGTGTCATCTACGCATCAGAACCATATAGTTGGCTTTAGCGATATAGACTCTAATGCCATTTCTTCAAAGTATTCCATGTATATATTCGCCATTGCTGGTGATAATGGCGAGCCCATTGCTTAAGCCCTCATCCTGTCGATATATGTGAGATCCCATTCAAGTGTGTTGTTTGTGTACAGAAAGTCAACATCTCCATCAGATTATCTATTGGAATACTGGTCCGCTCCTTCTAGGGAAGAGTCAGAGGTTAATCTATCTCTGACTACTGAGAGTGCCTCCTCCGTGGGTACCTTGGTGAACAGACTCACCACGCCCAAGCTCACCATCTGGTTGATAGGATGGGAGCATCTTTGATTATTTCCACGAAGTGGGGGAGTTTCGACATATGAAGGAGACTTTCCGATCAATGGGTCAATTATATCTACAAGGAAGCGACTCAGAGGGTGGCACACAGAGCCTTGGCAACTAACAATCGGCCTGAGTGGAATACCGCCTTTGTGAATCTTAGGAGACCGTATATGTGAGGTAACTTGCTGTAACGCTACGATAACTGCCTATACGCCTTGGGTGCGGCGATCCTTGTTCTTGATTAGGATCTGTGACAGTTTCATGCTCCGTTTTCATAGTAGGATCTTTCTTCACTATGCTGTAGCTACCATTGCTAATGAGGTCTTCCAGTTTTTCTTGTATAGTCCGGTTTGTCCATCACTACAGTCACATTACCTTTGTCAGCCGGGTAGTATGATGATGTTCTCATTCCTCTGTAGTGATTCAATCGCCAGTCTCTCCAGTTTTGTTATGTTAGACCTGGGCAGCTTGGCTCTCTCCAAGGCCTGTCTCACTTTCCATCTCATTTCATCCGCCTGAGCCTGAGGGATGTTCAAGGCCACCTCCTCTACTCTGGCAATGATGTCCAAGTATGGCACCCGCCTGATGGTTGTGGCGAAGTTGAGACCCTTATTCAATACTGACTCCTCAGAGGCACTCAGCTGATATTGGCTGATGTTGACTACTGCTTTCACTGGTGGGTGATGGAAAAAGTTTGTTAAAAGTTTTTTTAAAAATAGAAGTCATGCTCAGGTTGACTGGCCATGCATAGCATGTGAGTACCAAAAAGCATCTAACACCCGTTGCACATATTCCACACAGCAAAACTACTATGTAGAAGCCACACACAGAAATTCACCATCCCAAAACAACATCCTTGATAATGGCTATAGAATTGGCTGAATGTACTCTAAATAATTATAACTATCCACAATTCCTATAATTTTTAACCCCTGAAAAAGGAAAAAATGTTAGAATATTGGAAAAACTCAATCCCTTTCTCTGGTGCCATGAGAGAGTGCAGCCTCAGGCAGCTGTTTTCCAGGGCTGGGCACCTCTCAGTATAATTTTCCTCAGTTGCAACTGTGTCCTTTGAAAGAGTAGCCCCTGAGTGCACTCTGCCCAGACAGAGATGCAATTGAAAGATGATATGATATGTAATGCGTTAGAAACTACCGAAAAGAGTAATTTATACACTATATATACACACACGTACGCACACTTTTCTTTAATATGTCAGTTGTTAAAGCTATAATAAAGGAATAGGTATAGTTATAAAATCATTATATAATAAAAAAAAAAAACACACACACACATACACACACAAATAAAATCACATTAATTTTTATATCCACTCCATTTTACAGTAACAAGATAAATTTGAAAAAAATTTCTCACCAGCACTTTATTGTTCTTGAGATTTTTTTAGAGTAGAGAGAGAGAAAAAAACAGACTTAATAAAAATTTCTCACTTGTGGTCATTTCTTTATGACTTTCTTCTTGCACATTGCCACCATCTCCCTCTGTTCGGTATCCATGACTGTAAAATTACATACAAAATATAATGAACAGTGGTTTTTCAGCAAAACTAACATTTACAAAAATAGAACAACAAAGAAAATACATCAAGAAAAGGAACATCATATAGTTTAACATACAATACAATAGAAATGCAAAACAACCATAATATTAATTAAAAAACTTCCTAAAATCAAGTAAACTGCATGAAATATTCAACAGAAAAAAGTAAAAATAGATAAATAAAATAATCTAAAAAAATAAATTAAAAATAAAAATAAAATATATTATATATATATATATATATATATATATATATATATATATATATATAAAAAAAAATATATAAATATATATATATATATATATATATATATATATTTTTTTTTTTTTTTTACAATTCCTTTTATTGTACATTTTTCTGTGTGAATTTTAAATCTCCCGTTGAAGCCTGAAGAGCGGGAGCAAAACCAGTTGCTTCACCCGTTTTTTGTTAGTATGTCTCGTAATATTAAGTTTTATACTTTTATTTCGATCATATATATATATATATATATATATATATATATATATAAATAAAAGAGAGAGAGCGATAGATAGATAAAGACAAAAAATTCTAAATGTGTGTGTGTGTGTGCACAGAATCTAGCATATGAGTGCGAGCAACTAGAGTCTCATCTGTCACTTGTATGCAAGCACTATATGTCCCATTATTATTACTGTCACTCTCATCACTATCCCTGTCATTATATTGATTCAACGAAACCTTTTTAAAATGATTAAAATCAGAAGAAAATAAAACATACAGAAATTCTTTTAAAATATTTCTTCAATGTTCCAAATGAAAGATACAAATTATAACTGAAAAACAGGTATCAAAGAGATGAGGGTTTTTTTTTATCAAAATCAAGAATAAGAACAAAAAAGAGCAGCCAGCAACTCCTTAGGAGGGGAAAAATAGTATCATTATAGACACATCCTATTTTCTATGTTGAAATGAGTCCAACATAGCATTCACACAAACTAACATGGAAGACAATTGCATGGAAATTACAAGGGAGATAACTGCATCACTGTTACATAGCACAGTAGAGAATATCAATAAAAGGCGATTTTAAAAAGTTGATATGATGACGATATATACTGACTGAAAATAATATTACTGTGATTGATTTATTGATGTTATGGTGAGACAGGATGGGCTGAAAAATTCATAGGCTGACTATGAAGAAATGATGATAGAGCTCTGAAATCTTATATGCATTAATTTCAACACTTATTATTAATAATTGCATTTTAATTTCAACTCTTATTAATAATTGCATTATTTCTTTCCAGGCTTTCCTGGCTGTTCAAAGAAGACTGTTCATCCAGTTGGTCAAAAAAGTCATCAGTAGCAGATATGATGTCATCATCCCAGATGATAGTCAAATCAGGAGAATAGGGAGGGTGATCAACAAGTTCAAAGACACAGTCATGGATTGTCTCTGAGTGAGAGAGAGAGAGAGAGAGAGATGTCATCATCCCAGATGATAGTCAAATCAGGAGAATAGGGAGGGTGATCAACAAGTTCAAAGACAGTCATACACATTCAGCTACTTGTGTGCTGAAGCATTGTCCTTATGAAACAAGATCCCTTTTGTCAGTTTTTTCTGGATGTTTGGTCTTGGTAGCCTTTCATAACTGCCTCAGCAAGTTGACATTAACCCTTTTGAAGATAGTCAATAAACAAAATGCCTTTTGCATCCCAAAAAATTGAAAACATCACCTTCCCCATATGGATTGTCTCTTTGAGAGAAAGAGAAAGAGAGAGAGAAATTGTAAGAAATTATGAGGTGGAAAAGGAGTAAGAAATTATGAGGGGGAAAAGGAGTAAGAAATTATGAGGGGGAAAAGGTGTAAGAAATGATGAGGGGGAAAAGGTGTAAGAAATGATGAGGGGGAAAAGGTATAAGAAATGATGAGGGGAAAAGGTATAAGAAATGATGAGGGGAAAAGGAGTAAGAAATTATGAGGGGGAAAAGGTATAAGAAATGATGAGGGGGGGAAAAGGTATAAGAAATGATGAGGGGGGAAGGTATAAGAAATTATGAGGGGGAAAAGGTATAAGAAATTATGAGGGGGAAAAGGTATAAGAAATGATGAGGGGGAAAGTTATAAGAAATTATGAGGGGGAAAAGGTATAAGAAATTATGAGGGGGAAAAGGTATAAGAAATTATGAGGGGGAAAAGGTGTAAGAAATGATGAGGAGGAAAAGGTGTAAGAAATGATGAGGGGGAAAAGGTGTAAGAAATTATGAGGGGGAAAGGGAGTAAGATATGATGAGAGGGAATGGAGTAAGGCCTGATTTGTACCTGTCATTATTGCTGCCTTTCTGTGCCATGACCAAAGCAAATGCTGCATTTTCAATATCGGTACCAGACAAATTTACAAAATCCTGTAGTGCCACTGCAAATAAAAGAGAAAACAAAAAGTTTATCTTCATATAATTGTTAAATCTATTAATGTACTTGAGAAAGGCATGAAACCTGCCCACTTTTTTTTGTATCTGCTTTTCTTTCATAAAGGTTTACAAGAGAAAAAGTGTAAAATAGTGTGTATAAATAGTATGCCTGTATGTAAAAAGAGACAGAATGTAATGGATATATGCAAGATGGGAAAGAATGTATGCAAAAAGGACAGTGTGTGTAAAAGGAGGCTTTGTGTATGCGTGTATATGGGTGAAAAGAGACAGAGTGAGTGAGTGTGTTTGGGGGTGCAGTGGAAAGCAGAATGTGAAATGTGGAATAAGTGTCATTATAATCCTCTTGAACAATCAATTTTACTCTAACTTGGCAGTACTTCAAGTTACAGAATCTAATATAGCAACAACTCTAAGTAGAATCTTATGAAACTTTATTTGACTAATTCAGTTTTAGCAGTGAAAACATTTTATTTTATTATATTGGATGGTCACAAGTAAGAGGGGAGATGGGATGGGCTTATTTTATTACTACACAGAAGCAGCTTATGTTAGCCATTTAGTTTCTTTGCTGATACACAATAGAAAGTTGAAATTATGCATTAGTTTTGTTTGTCAGAACAACTATCCCAGGCAGAACTAATCCAGTCAAGTCTCGTTAACTTAAAATATGTTCAGGTAAATTTCAGGTTCTCTTTTTGTTTTTACTCCAAATTAAATAAAAATTCTCTGCTTTCTTTTATGATACTAAAACCATATTCATCGACATAATGTTGGTAGATATCTACAATTGGTAAACAGATCAAATTACAAAAATAGAAACTATCTGGTAACAAGAAGGGTCTTTTACTCTATGTTTGGACTGGACACTTTCACCAAACTGAACCATGAACGATATTGCAGAATGCATGACTGATTAAAGCTCAGACACAGATGGTGCACTGATATGAGAAGATTTCTTTTTGTGAGGCATACTGCTGCCATATGCGATAGGCAACAATAAACTACAGAAGAAGTCAAAATTGATTGCTGCATTTAAGTATTGCACTAATAGTTAAGTTTATCTTTTAAGAGTTCAACGATAATTCTTCTGCTGCCACTTAAGTTAAAGAGGATTTGATGTATGTAGGTCCTTACTTTCCATACAAAAAATTATTTTTATTTCATGGGTGACTTTCTCAGGATTTTTCAATTAATTTCGATTATTCCTGAATTTATTTTTAAGTTATAGAAATTGTTATTGTACAAAAGAAAAAAAAATTGATGAAAACAATTGCAGTAATGAAAACTTGGGAATCCAAAATTTCTGTAACATGAGCTACTGACAGAGAGTTGTGTCCCTTTAAGTTACACAGTGACATTCACATTTATTATATAGATGAAACCACACTAATATAATGTAATTGGTTTTCAGCATTTTCAAAAATGTGAAAGTTGAATCTAATATCTCATCAGGACTCATGAGAAATAATTGCTCAGGACTACAGTTAAGCAGCATGTTTATAATGTATGTCAAGTGAAATTTTTTTTCTCTAAAAACAGAAAGAGAAAAGTAATAATTTACTATTAAATGAAGATTGTTGATGAGAGATTAATTTACCTGACTGATGAATTCCACTAGAGTCTCCATCCCCACCCTGATCCAAATATTCCCCTTCAGAATTCATTGGAATCAAAGGCTGCTTACAATATCTGCAAAGAAGTGGCAAACATTTTAGCAAGTAAATAGTCATACAATTGAATTTTCACAAAAAGATAGGTAAATAAAGATGATTTGATTGCATAACAAATAAATAGGTAGATATAAGTGTGTGTGTGTGTGTGTGTGTGTGTATGTATCTATGCATGTATATATATATATATATATTGAGTGCATGTATTGTAATATAAGAGAGCTTATATATATATAATATATATATATATATATATATATATATATATATATATATATATATATATATATATAAACAGATTGTTACTGCTGGGTATTGACTTCTATATTTACATATGTTCTATCTCCAATGTTGAGCACTTTAACGCATAAATATAAAACTATATTTTTTATTTTTATCAGATATATATCATAAATTATGAAGAAATTGTTTGAATGTTCTGTATATCCAAGCACTTTCAAGTATACTTTTAGCCATTATTTAATAAAACTTGTAAAAGAGGGATTGCTGCTCAGATACACAATTATATAAGTACTTGAATAATATTTTTTCAAAGATTTATCTGGACAAAGGTGCATATTTCATTTTGCAAGTACAGTAATTTATTTATACACTCAACAAAAAGCAAACAAAAAAGATTGACTTACTTGCCATCCATTTCTAATGAACTCCCAGAACCCTGACTCAGTCTTCTTTCTGCTATTGATGACACTGGGGCTAAATATGCATCATCCCCAACTAAATCATCAGATGTGAGAGATGATTGAGAGTCTACTGCTTTCAAGGGTGGCTTTTTGCCAAATTTGAATATTAATCCTAATTCTGATGGGGAAGAACTTTTATGATTTTCATCGTTGTTCTTGGGACTTTGTTTATTTGACTCATTTGTCACAGATGGACTAGAAAGACCAGAAGATTTAGTGAGAGGAGAATCAACCTGTGTGTAATCATTGAAATGTAATCTGTCTGTATTAGCTAAATAGCTGGGAGAGTCCAGACTTGATTTGGCAGATATGTCAAAGGAATCATTTTGTACAGAACACGGAGAAGAACTGATTGAACTGATTTGATCGTCATCATCACTAAATGTCACAATGTTGGCAAGTTTTTTTCTTTTTTTCTTGTCTCTTTTTCTATCTGAAAATTCAAAGAACAATTATTTTGCACTGGTAAATATTTCTTCAGGAAAAATGTTAAAAACAAATCAATGACATTTAATAACACCTATCTCATTTACTGACCTGCCTTACCTTGAAAACTAAAATCAGCAAATTATTTTCAATATACTGGCCTAACCAAACTCATTTGTTCCAAACTATCTCTAAGGAGAGAATATTAAATAGTGACCAGGTAAAAATATTGCTGTTGTAGTAGAAAGATAAAAAAAATGATATATTTGGAAAAAAACAATTTATGAGATGAACTTAATGCCCAAGCACATTAATGTTTTATTTGGTAAATGAAGTTATAGATTAATGTTTATGTCACTGTTTGATAGAGAAGAACTGTAGACTAAGATGTTTTAGCTACTTTTCAAGATAATGGTGCAAAGCCCTTTCAGCTATTATAGAGGCTTATGGCCATATCATGAAACACTGGTTCTCATTCAATCACCAAAGTTAAGCAACATCAAGCCTGGTAAGTAACTAGATGGGGGACAGCTTGGAAATAGCAGGTAAGTTTGGATTTGTAGGTGGTTTAATGGATAACAACTCGGAATTGGAAATGTGAGAACTGAGTTCCAATTCCAGTTGGGTTCATTATATTCAATTATTGCAAATACCATTAGGAAAGGTAGAAATTCACTTTTTCTCCTCCCAGCTATAGGATAAATAGTAGAACTTGTATCAGTAAATCATTATTATCCCCCAAAAGTTCTTACAATCTAAAAATATTATCTGGCGTTAAATAATCTGCAAAAGGTTGATAAGCCGTAAAAAAACAAATTAACCAACCAACCATTTTAATCATATATGGTTTTTGCAGGGAAAGAAATTAATAAAAACATACATAAATACTGGTGGCAAGTACAGTTAATTTTGCTGGAATCAATACAGCAAAGTGTGAGATATTTATTTATAAGTCAAAAACAATCTGTGAAAAAAAAAAGTGAAAATTAATGATAAAATGCAGGGAATGAAACAAAAAACTGAAGTAATATTTATAGCTACATGCTGCTAAAAATTTTATTCATAGTTGGTTGAGATCAAATCTATTATTAAGAGTCTCGTTATTTTTTTGATGGCTTATCAACCCTTTGCAGGTTTTTTTAAAGCCAGAAAATATTTTTAGATTGTAGGAATTCTTTTGAGATAATAATGATAGAAATCCTACTAATTAAGCTATAGCTGGTGGGAAAAGAGGCGGATTCATACCTTTCCCAAGGGTATTTCAAGATATAATGAACCCAACTTGAATTGAAACTCAGCTCTCCAATTTTCAATTTTGAGCTGTTATCTATTACACCTGCATATCCAAGTTTACAGCACCTAGTGTTCCCAAGTGGTTACCCATCTAGTTATTGACCAGACTCGACATTGCTTAACTTCTGTGATCGTACGAGAACTGGTGTTTCAATGCAATATGGCCATAAGGCATTATTAAGAGTAAAATCCTACAACATTCTACACATTTAAATTGTAGGTTTGTGTTGAGAACTTCTATAAGATTTCCATTGATGTAATATTAATTATGGCATGCCATTTAATTTGGGAGTTGATTATCATTCTACAAAATACAATCTGAAGATTATACATATAGTGATAATCTTTCTAACATAACTACCCAATCAAAACTACCAAGTACTAAGTACAAGAACAAAATTAACAACTTGATTATTTTTTTGCTGTTGAAAAAAAGTTGTTTCTGCATCTGAAGGGTAAAACTCAGAAAAGAACTTGTAAATCCTTTTGTTAATTTTTAGCATTGGGATGTATTAATGTACATTCAGTTGTATTCACAAGTCACTTAGTACATCTACCAATGTGACCAAGATTACTACTGCTTTTGCTACTTCATATAAACCTTTTATATTGTCCCTTTCCGATATTTTAATCAAACAACCTCTCATATACAAATATATTACTACAGTTAGTAAATAACCAAATAATTAACCAAAATGAGTCTATTTTGTCCTGCTTTTTTATTATAAAAATGAAGTTTAACAACCTTTAGCACACTGAATTATTAATATTATTTCTCTTTCCATTGCATTCTTTTTCAAGGCTTCTCAGTTGCAGTAACCTTATTGTTAATTTCACTCAAAGGTGTTTTCTGTTGCCATAGCAGGATATGACAACACAACTATTAAATTCAAACAAATTTAAATTCAGGGATCAGAGTCATTTTCAGTGGGAGGATAAATTTTTTGCACAGCAAATGAAGTCACATACAGAGTGATAAAGGTTAAAATTTTCATGTGGTCTATTTATGAAATTGACTTGTAGAAAAACTTATCTTTAGAACAAGATGAGAATGTGACAAATTCAAATTATTGAATGAATGTTCTAGCTTATATTAGATGACTGGAATAGTAAAAATAAAATATAAAAAAGAAAATTTAAATCAGTGCAAATAGATTTAAAAATTGGTTCTTATATATTTATACTTTTTGTTTTCACTTAAATTATTATTTTAAACAAGGGAATTTCATAAATAATTAATATTTTAATCATATTAAAATAAAATTCCATATTCTGGTGTTAATACAAGCAAAAACCTTTCAGTGTATTCAGTGGCGAAAGTTCTACTCACCACAAGCTGCAGGTTTATTTGTAGCCATCACAGGTTGAATGTCTGGTGTAGTTTCTGGTTTGATTTTTTCTGAAGTAAGGGCCAATGGGATTGCAGAACTAATGGGAGCATTTATTTCAGGACTATCTATGGTTAAGGCAAACAATATTGACCCAAGACCTGAAACAAAAAAATGCATAAGAGAATTGAAATTAGCAAATATATATCTGATTTCTTTTTCATTGAAATTTCTTGGCTCAACACACTTCTCCAAATCAGTATTCCAACAAGTAAATGTAAAAATACTGATTTTGTAAAGTGGATTGGACTAAGAATTATTTTTTTTAACAGCCCTTCATATAAAAGACGTTATTGTATACTGTGATAGGTAATATGACTAGATCAGATGGTTCAACCTTAAATTATTAATTTGTTGAAAGAAATTGAAAAATTTCTTCAAGCAAAATAGCCCCCCCCCTCTGCCTCTACATATTTATCCTACCTATTATCAATTGCCTTCATAAAGAATTCTTCATTCAAAGAGTTAATAAAGTAATCATATACATCTTCACTTTGATTGAAAATTCTTTTGCCGGTATGGATATGGTCTAGATGCTAGAAAAATAAAGTAAATAATCTATCATAAAGACTGGGTAAATTGGCAGGGTACAATAAAGTCTTCATCTTCCACCAGTTCAATTTTATTAATATTATTTTTATATTAGGAGTTATGCAACAAAATGACACTTCCTTTTTTCACCAAATTATTTGGTGACATTTGTGTTTTGAATGCAGTCTTTCAAGCTGAACTGCATATCTAAATGGACAAATTGTTATTGCCATTTTGACAAAAGGTATCATTTATTAGATTATATTTGCTATAACAAATGCTTAACATCACTTTCCAGGGAAGATGGTGCAATTTCAGTTGATGTTTTTGCTTCTTCTCCCTATTCAACTATTGCGCAGATATTCTTATGAATTCGATAGAAGACCTATATTTCATTACAAGTGATGACACAAAATATCTTGGTTTCATACCATTGAACATGGCAGACCTCTATACACCAAATTTTTTATTCCTCATTCAATTCAGATCAAACACATTAATACTGTTGTTTTCTAGCCTGTCACAGTCATTCTTATATGATTGTAAAATAATCAGTTATTAATTCTCTGACTATGGTTTTTAGATTATTTTTCATCACAGTTTTGACCAACTACTCTCCTGATTTTATTGACTAAAATATCCACTTGCAAATTTTAAACCAAAATCATTGCTCATTTTTTTTTTAATTTGAATTTTGTTTTTATACTAAAGTTTATCTAACACAAGGCTAAAAAGCCGTTCATGGTAGAGGGCTACTGAATGAGGTGTGCATTATGAATGTGAGGTAGAAAGAAGGATGATAGAGAGTGACTGACCCTTGATTTGAAAGGTTATGGTTGTACTTTTCAGGGAAGCATCTATGTGAGAGTTTGTTCCACAAAGTAGTAGTTCTCAAGGAAAAATGCAGGTTGAATGGAACTTCATCCTTACAAATGGGATACAGAAAAATTGTGGAGGATTTGATTCCATGGACATAGCACAGCGAGTCCAAGTTATAAAGGTCTGAACTGTGGAACTAGAGAATGGAGCTCATATGAACATTTACCATGGATTAGCAATAAGGTAGAAATAGGCTTGCAACTTTGTGTCTGAGGGGAAAGAGGCTGTATAGTGGAAAATAAGTCATCCTCCTACATGACTGCAAATGATTTTAAATTCTATCAAGGCTAGAAATTGAAGATTGAGTATCTTCATCCCAGACATGGTAGTAATACTCTATTTTTGGTCTAATCTGACTCATGTAAATGTAAAGCATGACAGAAGGAGTCAGATGCTTTCTGGAGTGGTACAAGAAGCTGACTATTTTTCCAGCATCTTCAGCAATGGATTGTATGAGTTTCACTTGAGGTCTGGAATGAACATGAGACTCAATAGACATTCAAAGAACAGAGTTTTACTGAGAATGCAACCATTCATTGTGATGGGAGAAAGCTCATGGATTGATTGGTGATGATAAAATGTTACTAGCTTGGTAGTGAAAGTTAACCCACACTCCACACATACATATTGAGTTGTTAGAGTGAGGTCAGCTGTAAGGCTCTGAATATTTTGAATTTTGGAGAAGCTTCTGTAAATTGACTAAATCTTATTTTATGTGCCATGTCCCTTCAGGACATAGGTAATCATGGCCCTCCACTTCCTCCTGTCCCTTGTAGCTCGTAATAAATTTTGTCTTTTTGTTATTTCTCCCAGACTGTTCCACCATCCACTTGCTCAAGCCCATTAAGTATGCCACACATTGCTTTCCCCTGTCCCTATTTCCTTCTATATGTCCTGTGATTATCAGATTTTCCAAACCCTCCTTTCTCGTTACGTGTTCCAGAAATTTAAGCTGCCTCTTCCTGATGTGAAGTATAAGTTTCTTCTTTTTATTTCTCACAGATTTAGCTTCATGATGGTCTGTTTTGAATTCATACAAGTAGAAAGTGCAAAAATCAAACTAAAACAGCTTTCTATATTTGCTTTAAAAATGTAAAATTTGAATGGAATGAATTGACATTTTTGATTGATTGATTCGTTTTCAATAGCCTATTAACCCTTTGCAGGTTAATTAAAACCAGAAAATATTTTTAGATTGCAAGAAAGTTTTTTTTGAGATAATAATTGTTTAGTGATACAAGTCTTACTAATTAACCCATAGCTGGTGGGGAGAAGAGGCGGAATCATACAGAATTATCAAACTTTTTAAAAGGTAAGCTTAAATATTAATGAAATACTTAAATGCTGCGATCAATTTTGAGTTCTTCTATAGTTTATTGTTGCCTATCGCATCTACTCCTCCCTACCTACCTATTGTGATGAAGGCCCAATCAAGAGTTCTCCACAGGAGCTAGGTTGAATGCCGCATGATAAGATAGCTTTTAATTTAGTGTGTATGTGCATATATATATATATATATATATATCTTTAAAATCTCTCACTGTTAAATTTTAATCCCCACCTTCACCTTTAGGCCTTCCTGTTCTTCTTTCTTTTGTTACACCTCTCTCTAGACCTTTCAGAATATTTCCCTCTCACACTTGTTTCCCACTCCTACACACACTCTCACTAAAATTTTATTTTTTATACCCGGAGTTATATTTTCCAATTTTGTTTTTGAATTTGTAGGTCTGATGAATTGGATTGTAATTATGATTCCAATGTAATAAATTATAACGATGGAATATTAGTGTTGGAGCCTTTTTTATTTTATATATATATATATATATATATATATATATATATATATATATATATATGTGTGTGTGTGTGTGTGTGTGTGTGTGTGTGAACTCATTTCATTTTTAAAAAATCTGTGAAATCACAAATGTAAAAGGAAAACTAAAATAAATCAGATTTCTCAGTAATTTTTCTTATCCCTGTAGTATGTGATTTATATATTGTGACCCCTCAAAAATGAATACACACTTTGATAATATAATTGTTCCTTAGTTAGCACATATGTTACACCCCACCATTATCTCATAAATAATAGACAATTCTGTTTTGATTGCAAAATACAGATGGGAAAGACATCAGAGTTATTTGGCTTCAGCAAGGAAGAAAGAAAGAAAAAAAGATAGAGGTCATGATAACTGATGTGTTTAACATCTGCTTCATTGAAATGGAAAAAAAAAATGACAATTTTTAAATTATTTCATTTGTACCCTCTTACTTCTTTCAATAATGACCTGCATTCATACTTATGATTGTTATTACAATATTTTATTAATGTTTTAAGCTTAAATATTTTAATAGGGGAATTTCCATGGCTATTTAATAGGCATAGAACTTGTAAGGAGCTTATTCAATCATTAACTAAAGAATTATGATTCATCAGAAAATTCAAATAGCAAAACCATGAAATTTCCTTAATATGTTATTAACAATATATTATAATTAATATTATAATTAATTAATATATTATATACTAGCTTAAAAGCTGTACTCTGTGCAAACTTTTAAGTTGGCTAATTGGTGTTCTGCCCCAAAACTAAAGGAGCCTTTGGCCCAAATTAGAAAACACCAATAAGTTTTGAAGAAATAACTTTGAATTCCCCAATATACTCCATGGAACTTCAAAACCTCACTTTCTCTGATTTGAGTACAAGTAGGGGAACAAATTTTCCACAATCATGGAATTGTGGAATCATTAATCTTAAATGGAATCTGGGTTTTTAATGTAATTTTCAATAATAACAAATTAATTATTTGATCTTTTTTTAAATCTTTCAAAACTTAATAAATGTTTCTCTGATTTTGTTAAACATTTTAATAAATATAACAATACATAACGTAGTCATTTCTTTAAAATTTGTTTGTACAAATATTTGTTACAAATAATTTGTAGTTATTTTTCCTTTTAAAATCCCAAAAAGAATTAAGAACAAAAATGTTTACATTAAAAAAAAAAAAAAAAAAAAAAGGAAAACTGGTTTGTAGATTTTCTGAGAATATATTGGCTTGTCTATTTTTAAATATTTTAAAACTTTTCTAAGAAACTATGTAGCAAATGAGGTAAAGTCAGAAAGTCACAGCTCGGTTGTGGCCATCGAGATCCATTGCTAAAGTGGAAATGGACAAGATAGACACTAGTTAATATCAAAATTGGAAGGGGAGAGAGATGAAGATAAACTAATAAGTTTAACAAATTCATTTCCTTTAAGGCCTCACACAATTTACAAGTAAAAGATTCTAAGCAACTTCTAACCTTGTGTTATGAATATGAAAGAAAAATAAATGTGCCTACCATACAATATAGAAATAAAGAAAAATGTTTTTCCCCAAAACACCATTCTAAGCTCGACTGACTTGTCTACTTTGAAGTTTACAGTCAAACAGCAATTCTCCTGGATTAATAATTGCATCATCTTCATTGTAAAAGAAATTTAAATTTTGGAGATAAATTTGCAGATTAAACCCTGGAAACCAATTGTAATGAAAATTTCCATTCTGGTGTAAATTTGCATGCTTATTTAAAAAATAACAATAAAAGTTTGTAGAAGAAAACCGTTTAGTCATTATCAACATTATGAGTTTGGCCTCATTTGCATTGCTGTTACAACCCAGCCATCATTACTGATTTTGTTTACATATGTTTGCCTCGAGTAGTAATGCATGGAAGCCTCACTTGTCTTGATTACTGCACAATGCGCAAACTTTAAATTAAATTTTGTGAATTGCGCAATAATCCAGACAAGTAAGAAGATCAGTAAAAAGGCTGTAAAAAGTAAATAAGCTTCCACACATTACTACTTGAGGCAAACGTATGTAAACACCACCAGTAATGGCAGCCGGGCTAGATGTGAATAGGGCTGAACTTATATTGTTGATAATTCCTAAACAATTTTCTTCTGCAAATTTTTATTGTATATTTTGGAATTAATCATGAAATTTCACATCAGAATGGAAATTTTCATTACAATTGGTTTCCTTAATCTACAAATTTACGATTTTGGAATGCAAATAAGAGCAGATTTCCTCTGCTGGAAGAGATTACCAATGAGATCATATGGATGTCTGTTACCAGTGTAGATGCTAAATGTTCATTTTCTCAGTTTACTCAATAAACAACTTACAAGGTTGTATTAGAATGGAGATTTAGAGAAAAGATTAGAAGATTAGATATTTCCCAAATTAAGAAATTAGCAATTTTAAATTTGAAAAGTATTTCAACTTCAGAGAGGTTGTTTTATTTAAATTTTAAATTAATATGCCTAATTTTTTTTAAAATTTTTATTTTAATTAATTGTTTATTCAGATATTTATTATTGAGATTCAAGTTATTTGCTGCTGACATTGTAAATGTGATTTTTATATTATTAATCAATAATTATAAATCAATCTAAATACTTTTACTTGAAAAAACAAAAACAATTTGGATGTGTTCTTAAAGAAGGAAGCTCTGATTAAAAGTTCTACCTCAAAGAATTATTATGCACTGTAACATTCCATTATTATTTTATTGTCTAGTCATTATACATTTTTTTTTTATTTTTACATATAATTTATTTTTTGACTTGGATTTTAACATTTAAAAAGATCTGTAGATATTTGCTATTTCTTTATATGCAATAAAAATTTGAATTGTGTTTTTGTTTTCAGTTTTAATAATAATAATAGCATATTGTATTGCAGTTTTTTCATAAAATACTATAAAAATGGAAAAAATGAAATTTCCCAAAAGTAAGAACAGAAAAAAAAAAAACAAAAAAAAAAAAAACAGAATTTACCAAAACTGGAAACGGAATCAAGGAAAATTTGAAATGGCAAATCGGGGGTCCTATATAAGTCCAAACTCATCGAAAATGCAAATTTGGTCTGAAATTCCAATTCAGGCCAAAAATTGAGTTCTTCAAATTACAAACACTGTGGAACTTCAAAATCTCACATCACAAAAACTCTCACTTTAACTCTGATTCCTTGGCATTTTGAAGAAATAAAATTGATTTCCTCAATTCACAAAGCTTTGGAGATATCTTAAACTGAATTCAAAACAATTGTTTTTAAATTCTAAAATGGTTTTTGTGTTACTTTATACGCAATATAAATGAAAACTTAAAATCACTAATTTTTTTTCAGTTATTTTAAAATTTGAATTTTTAACCCGCCTCATCCAGACACAAATCCCAATGCTGGATGTTCAAGCATCAGTTTCAAGGCAAATTTTCAATCCTGAGATCATCCTGATTCCAGAAAGATATAATATGTCTATGTAGAGCAAGTGTGGCCTGTGTTAGAGGGGTTGCAAACATATGGGCAGACAGACAGAATTTGTTGTCTATTTATAAAATTTATGTCCTTAATAATAAATTAATAAATGTTGCAATAAAGTTTAGATATAAAAGCATATGTGATATATTTAAATGATGTACTATCTCAAGTGTTCAATATGTTTGATAAAGTGTGTATATATATATATATATAACCAAACATCAGAAACTTTTTTTGAATTCTTTCTTGGCTAGGCCAAGGACTTTTTAACACCTCCTCATACAATCTTAAATTTATAATTTATTTGTTTATTTTTGGGTAATATTGACTGCAGTAGTAGTTTCAAATTTTAAAAATTGATTATGTTTTTATCTGATAAATGCCTAGGTGTATGTAAATTTCTCAACACTTTTTTCTTTTAGATAAAGGAATGAATACACAGTTGAAAGCCATTTTTTTCTTTGCTGGAAGCTTTTATGTACATCTTTTTCCCAGTATTGAAGATACCGCTTTTTTTTTTTTTAAAGAAACTAGAAAAATTACCCTTTGTTTAGAAGCCAAATATCAGCTTGTAACAAAGAGTGTCAAAAGGTTCTCAGCCTAAATAAGAAGAGATTCCAAAACAAATTCTGATGTTTGGTCATTTGAACAGATTTGGTGAAGTTAGTCAAGCTGAGAAATTTTCAGCACCCCTTTATATACTCACTTCAAATATTTTCCTCAACAAATTATAAGTACATCTTTGACAATAGAAACTATACTTTGATTAATTAACAAGACAAATGTTCAACATTTAGTTTATTAAAATAGTTTTGATTCCTAAAAAGATTTGATCCTATTTTAGCTGATATTCAGATGAGCACTATTTCATTTTTTTTAAATCACTTTTTGATTTGCCATCATATCAATTAAATCCAAAAATGCTTTCAAGTTTTAAACTTAATGTGATGTCATTTTAACTATTTGATTACAATATTCAATTTAAACTGTTTTAATTTCATACATTTTGGTAACAGTTATCAACATTAGTAACATTTTATTTATCTCATATCTAACTATCTCTAGTTGTGTCTTAGTGGTTAACTCTTTATCTAACAGTAAAAGTCATTTTAGTGTATTTAAAAGTAACTTGAAAATAGTAACTCATGATATCAATAAAAAGCTTAAATTTTTTTCTTTCTTGATGGCTGCAAAAACTTGCTTTAATTTTTAATTTTTTTTTGGTCAATAGTAATTAATATACTATGCAATGGAATTAAAGGGTGTTTTTTTTTTGTAGCCATGTGAGTGGAGATTTCTGGGTAAAATGTAGGCAACTACAGTTTCAAAGTTACAAGTTCACATGCCTATTAAATAGTTTTCTTTCACATCTTATGAATTAGGTCATTATGTGAATATAGTGAACAATAAAAGTTGTCTGCTCATGTGATTTCAATCTAAAAATAGGAATAATAATCTGAAGCTGTTTAATGAAAAACAAATATGAAGAAGACTTTATCCTCAATTTTCTATCAATTATTAATCAGAATTTGTTGTTTTATCAATTAAAATAAGATATGGCAAAATCATTTGTTTACTTCTTTTTTGACAGTTGCAAAAACAATTCAGATTGTTGTGAAAAATAAAACCTGATTCATGGGAGTTTATTTAATAGGAACATATAAATGATGATGAAAAAACATGAATAAAAAGAGACACTGAATAAAAAAGAGAAACATCAAAAAATTTATATTCTGGAAGAGTGAAGTAGAAAGACACTAACAGAGAGAGAGTATATAGAAGAATAAAAAAAGAAATTGAATGAGTGAGAAAGTAAGAAAAACAGAGAGTGAGAGAAAAACAAAGAGACAGAATACTTAGAGAAAAATGTTTAGTGAGAGAGAAGTTATTGAGAATCATATTCAAAGAGGAGAAGAACAAAGTGAAAAGAATTTACTAAAAATGATTTCCTACCAGCTGCCATATTTGGTAGCATACTGCTTCTTTCCTGGTCCCGTAGAAATGCCCAGTCTTCATAATACTGACTGGAAGACACAAGAATATGAAGATCATCAAAAAGTGAAGGTCCACATACCATCACAAGTTCAGTTGATAAGCATAACTAAACAGTTCCATTTTGAAATAGTATGATATGCACCAGCAGTCTCATTAAGAGGCTAGGATAGAGAAGTTTGTGAAAGGGAGTCATGAAAGTAATATATATCTGATGGTCACGAAAGACTGCTGAAATGAAAGCAACAGATTTTTAATGAGTAAGAATTAGTTGTCATTAATATTTTTCTTAGTTTTTATCTTCTCAGTTGGAACCCTCAATAAAAATGTTTCATTACTTCCTGTAACTCCTTATATAGTGTGTCCTTCTATACTTCTAAAGGATTATATATCATAGTGTGTATGTACTGATACATTAATTAAAGAACTAAATTTGATTACTTCAGATGTTATTTCTTGCTGAAAGTCTTAAGTGTAATTGAACCCTGATTTTTTTTAAGCACATATTTAATAGACAACATATTTGTGTCACTGTGACACCTGAAAATGGATGACAATCTTTTTGCCATTTCCTACCTGGGTCCTAAACATAACTTATGAATGATGCATTACTGTATTTTAATTGATATGTATGCCTCATCATCATCATTATATTTGAACATATAAGAACTGATCCTTGAACTATAGTATAATACTAAAATCACAGGTGATATCTTTAGGAATTTTATTAATCTGAATGAAAAACAAAAAAACACCCAGTATCTGTCTATATTTCTGAAATGAGGTATTAAGGACATATTGCACAGTGGATAAAGGCATTAGTTAGATTCAATGACAAGACCCAAAGAGTATGAGTTCAATACCCATTTAAGGCAGTGGAGAACTTTCAGAGGGAAATTAACAGGGTAACTGATAACTGACATCCATAAAACATAGCACGTGAAACTAGAACAGTCTACTCCAGTGAGCAAAATAAAGGGTTCAGTTCGACATTCCAACCACCTGAAGAAGGCTGGAGTGTACAATGGCTAAAACGTAATAAATATGGCGACAAAGATGAGGACAATAGTTCGAATAATGTAAAAAAGTGTAAAAAAACACCCAGTCATCTCTTGTCAGTAATATATTACTAGAATAGTATTGGTATATAATACTAGAGTAATATTGGTATATATTACTAGAGTAATATTAGAATATATTACTAGAGTAATATTTTGTCACTGTGGTTAATATGAGGTTTTGTCATTTTTGGTCATCCATTTGTGCCAGCATTATTAAAAAAAAAAAAGAAAAAAAAAGAACTTAATGCATGTCCTGTCTATGTATTTTTTTCTCCTTTAGAACCTCACTTTTATTCATTCTTTTATGTAAAACAAGTAGGAAAATCTCTACAAGAAGTAGTAGTTAGGAATGAGGTGGTGTGGAGTATATTCAGAAAAAAAAAAAAAGAAAAAATAATGCATGTGTATGTGAGGTGGGGGTGGGGGGTGGGGGCTCTGCTTTTGTTCCCAGAATATTAATGAAGCTTGGATCCAGAAATAACATGATGACGACTTCCAGAATCATAGCTTCAAAGAAAATCATTCTGGCTGGGCACTTTTCAAGCAAGCTACATAAATCAATTTTCCTTACATTTTTTTCCTTATTTAAAGATTGACATATTCACATTCAAAAAAAAAAAAAATCAACAACATCACAGATTGATTAAGAAGGCATGCTTATTTGATAGGGTACAACTATAACTGATGGCCAATTCATGTCCATTATTATTATTAAGTCCTCTTCTTGTACACTATCTGTTCATCACAGGTGACATCATAAAGGTATATTCATTTATTATGTAACAATTTGATTTTCAGTGACATCATATGATAGCCATAAGTATTTGACTAGTTTAATATGTAATGTTTTAATATCATTAGTAGATAATGAAAGGCCTCTTCTAGAATACATAAAATTAATTTTAACATTATCTTTCTCAATAATCACATTCATGTATTTAAGAAAATAATTTATATATATAACTTTAAACATTATTATAGTGGATATTCATATCTGAAATAGATGCCTCATTTTTATTTTAAAACGCTTTTATTTTGAAGTAATAAAAATGGCAGAATAAAAATATATAAATCTGTTAATTCTTTAGAAACTGCTTTGTTTACATTTCAGATATTAAACTGAGCAGATATGGGCTTTCTAGAAAAATATCTCAGTGACAAAGTGTGGGGAAAAAAGGAAAATAGAACTCTAGTGGTAAAACATGCCAAATCAAATGGTGGTCTCTCCTACAGAAGATCCTTGGTGTAGAGTACATTTTCTTTACTAAAATTTCTCAATTACGCAGACTGATAGATATAATACACACTGATTAGAATAAAAATGGGGTGTCTATTTCAAATATGAGTATCCTTTAAAAATAACATTTGAAGTAATATAAATGTTAGATTAAAAATAAATCAATTCTTTAGAAATTGTTTTCAGATACAAAAGTGAGCAGATATGGGCTTTCAAGAAAAATATCTTAGTAAGGAAGTGTGCTTTCCTTAAAAAGGAAAATAGAGACTTGCTGAACTTGCTCTCTGTAGTAGAGTGATAAAGTACACTGGATCAAATGGTGATTTCTCTTACAAAGAGGGACACAGGTTCGATCCCTGCTGGAGAGCACATTTTCTTTTTTAAGATTTCTCTTCTATGCTGACTGGTAGACTTAAAAAACAATGTTTAAAGTAAAACAGTAGAAATGGGGCGTCTATTTCAAATATGAGTACCCACTAATAATAATGTTTGCAGTATTAAAAATGTTGAATTAAAAATAAATCCATTATGTGTGCATGTGTGTGTGCGTTTGTAAGATGTATAATAGTATATGAAACAAAAGTGAAAATCATGAGACAAAGTGGAAAATTTTTATCAAAGACACATTTTGCCAGAGAAAGCTTATATTCTCTTTGGCATCATCAGTTTGACTAAAAGAAAGACAAAATTATGTGTTAGGAGAATCTCTTGGGATCTTTGAGGATAAGTTGGTATCATAAATCTAATTAATTACTTTCTGACTTTAGATTTGAAGAGAGTCTGTATGTCTCTGTGCTTGTCTGTTTTATCTATATCTGTATCAGAGATGTTTGGTATTGTAGGATTCTAATTCAAAGACTTTTATTATTTTTTGTATACACATATATACCTACATACATATAAATACATGCACACACACACACATATATATATATGTATGTACACACACACACATATCTATATAACATACATACCTGTATACACTTATTCATACATATCACTATCTGTATATACCCATATATGTATATGTGCACTCTCATACACACACATCCCTACTTTTACAAAATTTGGGTGCAGGTTCCTTACACCAAAACAAGGACAAAAGTCCATATAAGCATATGTCTGGAAATCCTTCATTTTTGAGTTATTAAGTTTAAAGAAAGTTTATGGTAGATGGTGCTTTGTTGCCATGTAGACTAGGTTACATTTGTCATTTGTGTAAAATTGTGGCTAGTCTGTCTTCAACGTTTAACATGTGTAGTAGTGAGTTAACTGAGAGGTGTTCTGTTTAACAATGGGAGGATATTCATATTGTGAGTAAGCAGATATGATTTTTACATACGGTTGCATGAATGGTAATGGACACGAGGCTGCATAGCTGTATCAGATTGTATTTCCAGACTGAAGGCAGCTGAGTCATCCAACCTTTGCTGTTGTTTATCATCACATTGCTGAGACAGGATTCGTGACACCACAATTTATGGATCAAGGAAGACTGAGATTCACTCATGCATGAAGAATACATTCTACAGGCTGTCGAAGATGATCCAGGTATCAGTACACATCAAGTAGCCCTAGCATGTCGTACATCTCATAGTACCGCATGGAGGGTAATTCAAGAGAAGCTCCTGTATCCGTATGATTTGCAACGTGTGCAGGGTCTTTCACCCTCCGATCACTCACCATGAGAGAACTTTTGCCGATGGTTTATTGCACTGCTAATCCGTTATTTGTCACATCATTATTTACAGATGTGACCACATTTGGAAGAGATGAAATAACAAATTTATACAACCAACATGAAATGGCTGGAATTGTAGGTGGCTGTCTGGTAGGTCTATATGTTCTTCCAGCATGTCTTACAGGAGCTGTCTACAGGGACCTTATTTCAAACACACTTCAGGACTTGCTAGAGGATGAGATGCATGTGGTTTATGCATGATGGGGCTTCAGCACATTTTAGTCACATTGTTCGTGATGCACTGGCTGATATCTATCTTCAAAGATGGATAAATAAGGGAGGACAGGTTCCATGGCAGGCACGTTCTCCCGATCACAATCCTTTGGATTTTTATCTCTGGGGCCACCTAAAACAATTGGTTTATGCATTAGACATTAATAATGCAGAGACTCTTCAATGTGACCTAATGGGTCTATGAAACCATGTGACACCGTGTGGGAGTATTTGAAACAGTCCATCATTTGACACCATGTGGGAGTATTTGAAACAGTCAATGATACGACAGGTGCATGCATGTGTAGAAGCAAGTGTAGGACATTTTAAAAATTTATTATGAATTGCTGTGTTGAGTTACAATGATGACATTTTGGACATATGTTTATATGGACATTTTAATTTGTTTTGGTGTCAGGAACCTGCCTCCAAAGCTTGTAAAAGTATTTTGGGATTGTCATTTAACAGCATCTACTTTAAACTTAACTCAAAAATGAAGGATTTTCAGACATATTTTTATATGGACATTTGTCCTTGTTTTGGTGTGAAGGACCTACCCCTCAAATTGGGGGAGGGTGTTGTTTTTCCAATATTGTGGATTGCATCAGAATGCCTGGTTTGTTTGCTTACACATATTGATCTGAGTAACCCAGAGTGATATATACCTGAGTAAGCCAGAGGGTACAATGGCCAAAATGTAGTGATAACAACAACAACAAAGATGAGAACAATAGTCCAAATATAAATAGTGTAAATAATGAAAAGTCTTCATCCCAGAAATTCAAACAAAAATATGAAAGGTTTACAAAGACAAATGTTTTGAACAAGAAATTGATAATGTCTTTGTAATGACAATTTATAGAGAGAATGTTTTTTAACAATAGTGTTCACTCTGTCCAAGGTTCCAGAGCCACTCCAGATAATGACTTACAAAATAAGAGGCACAGTTTATGAGGATATGTAGGGAAGATAATTGTTAATCCTAGACTTTTCTATGTTTTACCGATGAAATGATTTTCAAAACTAACAATGTCGTGACTAATTTGTGATTTTGAAATTCAAGGCATTTTATACAGGTTGTTTCGAAAGTCACTATGCACTTATATTCTTATTAACAGGCATTATTAACACCTGAAAATAAGTTTTCAATGAGAAATACACATTCTTCAGTTGTTAAAACCATATTGGGGTGAAATCTGAAATATAAAAAATATGATTAGAAAAGTTCACAGTAACTTTCTGAACACTCTGTACAAGTGGCTGCTGTTGAATGAATCAGCTTTCATCTTAAAAGTACAAATAATTCTACCATTCAGCAAATAAACTTTTAGATTCCAATAAGGAATTATTTTATATATCTGAGATGAGGTATTATGATTACTTGCGTTGTTTACATTATTTGAACTGTTATCCTCATCTTTATTGCCATATTCACAGCGTTTCGACACATGGCCCAGTGGATAAAGATGTTGGTTAGATCCAGTGACTAAACCCAAATGCAAGGCCACAACAATGGTGAACCAAAACTTGGAGAGTTAAAGGGAAATAACTGAGGTATCCAGAAAAGGCATGGCACATGGAACTAGAACAATCTACCCTGGTGGATAAAATAAAGGGTTCAATTTGAAATTCCAATCACCTGAAGAAGGCTGAAGCGCACAACAGACCAAACATTGTGAATATGGCAATGAAGCTGAGGATAACAGTTCGAAATGAAAATAATGCAAGTAATTATTTTATATATTGATAAAACAATGAAGTAGTTGTTAATAATGTAAGCATATGAGTGTGAACAATGTGGACATAGTAATCACCACTGCATGTTGACTGTCAAGCAATCTTCAAACCATCATTGATTTCTATGTCCATACTGTCTATATCTAAAAATGTTCTATCTTCAATACTGAGTATTAAATAAATATAGAAAATTTTATTCAATATATACATATTATGCAATCTAATATATAGAAATCATTTTACCTTAATATATCATCTTTCTCAATAATCATATGCATGTATCTCTCTAAGGAATGCTCATTTAAAGATGCCCTTAGCCAAGCTCGTCCTCTGCCCATTTCTGTGTTGACAGATTTCAACAACAGAAATCGTTGGAGCTCATGTTTTGTCAGATGTTCTTTAACATTCTGCCAAAAAGCTGTAATTAAAAAAAAAACAAACAAAAAAAAAAACTGAATAACAATAAAAAAATAATATGTATGAATGAGGCAAATAGATTTCCTTTCCAGTTTTAAAACTTTTTTTATCAAAATATTTCTTCATGAAAAGAATTTATTATAACGAATCTCAAAAAGTTTTGTTGCTGTTATTTATATTTTCATTGTTGCATTTTCTGTCAGGCTTACATGATTTTTCAATCTTTGTATGCTAGGTTAGCAAATCACTTTTATAATTTATATCAGGAGTGACTAAATCATGGCTTGAAAGTCACATGTAGCTCTTTGACAATGTACAGCTATTGGAAATATGATGTTTGAGCTCCTCTCATTGCAGTTAATAAAAAAGAGAAAAAAATTTCAAGTTTTATAATTATTTACCAGATATGAACCTTGACTAATAGATTAATCTTTATGGTCAAAAAAAATATTTAAAAATGTAAATTCTAGTTTTAATCTATGAGTTATATATTGTTCTTCAATGTTGCGGGAAGGAAGGAAGGAATGTTTGAAAGTAGAGGGATTACTCTTCAGCGCAAAGGCGTTTGCTTATTTGTAAACACTCTCCAGTTTAAAGGAATATGCTTATTTGTAAACACTCTCCATGTAAAGGCATTTGCTTATCTGTGTATTTAATACATTGTATTAGGTTTTTCGAATATTTTTATGTCATATTAAAAATAATCTTGGAGGCTGAATTAAGTATGTTGTACAGAGAAATAACAAGAAAATCATGTAAAATGTTGCTCTGAATGCAACAAGCCTGTTCATCACATCACACTATAAACCTTAATGGATACCAGCTATAGAGCAGTTATTAGATTTGTCTCACAGGCCATAGAAAATTTAATCTTCATTGGGTATCCTATTATTGTGGCCTCTATGGATATATATACAATAAAAACTTTATATACATTGAAATCCATTGTGTAGAAATATTACAGCAGTTAATGTTCCAATTAAATTTAAATTAATGGAAGCATTTTTGATTTATTTTCTTTTGTAAAAAGGTGATATCTGAAGTAGTTTATACTATTAAAACTATGTTCTTTTTTGAGGGAGGGTATCCCTCACAAAAATTTGTAATGCAAATTTTATCTTTGTGCAAAATCTAATTCTCTATTTTGGCTCCAGGAAAAATTAAGTTACCTTATTTCCTTAGTGATACTGTTCAATGATTTTAAAGAAAATTGCCAACACTTGACTTACAAACTTTCAATTTTGAAACTGATTAGAACAACCTATTGTTCCTTTCCACAAATATAATAGTAAAATTGTTATTTTTATTCATCAATCAAAGTAGCCATGTTTTTATATATGGCCAAAATTGCAGTGAAAGAAGGAAAAAAAAATTACCAGGATGTGCTTCCATTTCAGCAAACCGGGTCACCTTACTTAATCCTGTGATTTCTGTCACTTGCCTAAAAACAAAACATCAAGTTAAAAAAAAAGTATACATCTGATTAAGAGAGTTGATAAACTTACTTGATTTACAGTGCAAACAAATAATTATTACTTAAAGATAACAATATATTTAATGAGGGTCTGTTGGAAAAAAAAAAACAAAAAAAAACGATTTTTCTGTCTTTTAAATATTCCTGGAAATTTTCTATTTAAAAAAAAAAAAAAAAACTAGGACAGTAGGAAAAGCCGAGTCTCAAGATTTATATTCTGACTGATAAATCAGTATGATAAGAGGAGATAATTACACGTCTACAGATATCAGACATATAATCACTTGTCATGTAGATATATACAGAAAAATATGTTTATCTTCAGTCCTTCTGTCAAATGTTTTCATAAAAAACAAAACAAAGTAGACATGTTTGCTCTTACGAAAATATATAATATTCACACTTTCAGAGATTTCAAGCTTTTGACAATAAATAAAATTTGGAGGTTTTTACTCAAAACTCTATGAAGATCAAATCTAAAAAGCCTTAAAATGCTTGATCATGTAGTAATTTATAAAACAATTTTACAGTCCAATAAAATAGTTTAAACATAGATTTTTCCTAATATTGTTATCCCTTAGGAGAATAGGTAAGCTGTGATTTTTTATTTAGATCAAGTATATATATATATATATATATATACATAAAATATAAGATCTTGCAGTCCATAAACACCAGGGACATTTATTCAGAAATAACCCACTTTGAATATAGTGCGGAGAAATCTCTGCCGCACTGCATGTTAACAGTTTCACTTTCTCAGAAATTTTTGTATACAAGAATTTTTACGTCACATTCACTTTTTTTTTATGTCTCTCTGTCTGAAACTCTGTCTCTCAAAAGTCATCGAAAAAACAAGATTCTCACTTTGAGTCTGAAACTCTGTCTGTCTCTCTCTGTCTCTGTCTCTCTGTCTCTATTCATCTCTCTATATATATATATAAATATATATATATATAAGGGAAGAATACTGTAGAAATATACATCTGAAAGAATCAAACACATATGCCAGGCTATGTAAAGAAAAAGTAGGCCTAGTATAGAATAATACAATATGAGAGACCACACTAAAAAGAAAGAAAGACAAATGACAAGTCTTCAACAGCAGTAGCAGTAACAACACTAATCAGCAGACAGGCTAGGTTTAAGGCTCCAAGTTTACTGCAGAGAATTGTACTAAAGGACAATAGCTTAGTGGATTAAAGTGTTGGTTTGTGTGTTTGTGTGTGTTAAAAATGAGCTAGGCAGGTAATATATGTTTTGGGAAACAGGCGAGCAATTGTGCTGAGTGTTGTGTTCTAAAAATAAGAACTAGATGATATCCCTAGATATTGGCAGTAAAATGTGAACAGTTTACTCCTGCAGATTAAATAAAGTATTTATTACTGTTGTAACCTAGGGATGGTTACTGAAGAGAATAATCAAATGAAGGTTGGTAATGAATGATAATAATTAGGACATTAACAACACATATAAGATTCCCCAATTACAGATACTGTAAAAGAAGTAGTCAACTGTTAGAAAAAGTCAATTGAATTCAAAAATGAATTTTGAATTGTAGACCAACATAAAGTATTTTTCTGGATGTCACACTCAATGGAGACAGGTACATTATCATCCATATAGAAAACCACAAGACAAATCACACTTTTTATAAGATCTTCTAACCACCTGATGAAGCCCGGAAGCACAATCCATAAACACTGTATAACAAAAAAAGATGAGGACAATAGTCCTAATGTAAATAGCATAAATTCAGACAGAAACAATCCATCTATACGCAAAATTGGTATACAAAAAAGAATTATACAGTCTAATATAGAAGTAGAAAATGGCTGACCATATGAGCAACTTTGTACAAAAAAAAATTTGCATGATATTTTTCAACCCCACCAATACATTTCTTCTATTGTGTAGTCAACAAACTAAAATAGAATTCATTAAACTCAAAATGTCTAACGTTTGCCCAGGATCACATTTCAGAGTTCAACGAAACACAGTAATATATTATTCTTTTTCACTCATGAATGCAAATTGAAAAAAAACAAAACTTAAGGGCTGACAAACCACCTTGGACAAATGTCCATACTGCAACACAGCAGAGCAAGCGAATGTCACAGACAGGATTGTTTGCAACAAACAAAACATTATTCTGTTGGGTAATGTATAAACCAAAGTTGTATTTATGCAATTTAACTTGGACTATTGATGTATAGGTGGCTTTATATTCCAAGTATAGGTGGTTTTATATTTTTTTTTTTCAGAACAATATGAGTTGTTTATAAAATAATTTTTTATTTTGAATGAAATCAAAAATATTTGGGCAAATTTTTATATTTAACATGTATGAATGCCTATTTTCTAATCAGCCATAAGAACCAGATAATGTTATTAGCTTATTTCTTAGACCTAAATATGGAAAGATTTTATGGTTAAAATAAATGGAAAAAACTTCTCTATATTATTTAATAAATATGCATTAACACACACACACACACACACACACACACACACACACACATACACACATATATATATTTAAAGATATATATATATATAAATTTAATTACAAAAAAAAAGTGTAAAACTTAATATTACCAGACATATTAAAAAAAACAGAAAAAACCAGTTTTGGTTTCGCTCCTTCAGGCTTCTAACGGAGATTTAATTTAAAATTAAAAACACAGAAAATGTACAATAAAAGGAATTGTGGAGGTGAGAAAAAAAAAATGAAACAAGGAAGAGACAAATAACAGCGAGACCCAACAAACATTCATGCTGTTTACACAAGGAAGGCTTATGGGACCCGATGTAAAGTGCCTCCAGAACCTTGAGGTGAAATAAAGAGTGTGACCGGGAAACACAGTGAACCAGTTGACACTAAATTTAGCTGCACACTCTCTGCTATTTAATAGGTGTTCACATATGGTGGAACCATAGGTGTTTGGGACAGTCCATTCAACGGCAAGGTGTGATTCCTGATTTTTGTAGGAACGTGTTGTTTTATTCTCATGTCTAAGCATTGAGTTGTTCTCCCTATGTAGTCAGCTCCCGCACTACAAACATATTTATAAATAATTGAATTAATTTGATGGGGAGGAGAACGTCTTTGGGAGGCAGAGTTTGAAAAACTATACAAACCTCAGCAGAGAAAAAACAACAACAACATTAGATGAAATTTGTTTAACTATACTTTCACATTTGGTACCAATCCAGGGCAATCTAAGATAAACCGGCATTTTTGACAGTACAGAGCTTGACACTTCTGAACTCCCTCAATTTTGTTACGGATAACTAAATTAACAGTATCCAGAGGATAACTTAAACTACATAGGGTTTCCCTAACAAAAATCGATTTCATCATTCAAGAAGGACTCTGAACAGATCTTTAATGACCTGTGAAGGAGGGTTTTAATAATGTTTATCTTATGTTTTGTGGGACAAAAGGAATCCCAACGCGTATACAACCCCGCAAAAGTTGGTTTCCTATAAACCAAGGTAAGAAAACTTGTTGATGTTTGATGTACTAATACATCCAAAAAGGCCAATTGGAAATTGGATTCCTTCTCAACAGTGAACCTCAGTGCTGGATGGATACCATTTAGAAAAGAAAGAAACTGATCAGCCTCAACTTCGCTGTTGAATAAACAAAAGGTATCATCAACATACCAACAATACAGTTGAGGACACAGTGCATTCTTCCGTATTCTTTCTTTTTTTGGAAAGCCAACAAATATATTAGCAAGTGCTGGACCCAAAGGGGAACCCATAGCAACCCTGTCAATCTGTCCGAAACATAGTGTTATTAAAACTAAATTCAACAGAAGATGTGGCAAATTTCATCAATTCAAAAAATACTGACTCAGGAAATACTTGGGTGGAGACAATGAACTGCGATAAAAAGCAAAACCCAGCAAATATTGATAGTTTCCATAAGAGGGACACAAGTATATAGAGAACAGACATCAAAGGAACCCATGAACTTGCCAGAAGACAAATTTTGAATACAGTCGACAAAGGAAAATGAATCTTTTATGCAAAATCCACTCAAGCACTGCAATACTGGTTCCAAAAGCGCTGAGAGGCATTGGGCTACCTTTGTGTTGGGCTGAACCAATCATTGATAAAATTGGTCGTAATGGTATCCCATCCTTATGGATTTTTTTGGAGCCCATATAGATGGGGGACGAATTGAGCCAGAGGGTCAAATTTCATTGGCAATTTCTTGTGGAAGCAGCTCAGGCTTTACTCACTTCAGGAGTAATTTCTGAACTTTTGCTTCACCTGAAGTAGTTCTGTCACAAGTATGTGCAGATCCAAGCTTGGTAAATTTCAAGTATCTTCTAAGATCGAAGACATTTTGGCTACGTAATCTGCTCGGTCTAAAATAACAACTCCAGCACCTTTTTATCTGGTCTGGAAATTATTAAATCATAATTTATTCCTCAGGGAATTGATCACTCACTGACATTCAGCTTTCCATTTCAATTCAGCAATAGCAACAGAGGAACTAGAAAAAGTGTAAAAGGAATTATTTAACTGGGCTTTCAAATCGCAAACCATATCAGCAGACATAGGAGACAGTCTTGCCAACTGTGCATAGAAGATCTTGAACTCTGAAAAAAATCTTCTCCTTATCAGGCATGGAGGGTGGAATGCAAAAGTTCAAACCATGAGCAAGAACAAAAGATTCTAGCTCAGTTAATTCATGAGAGGACAAATTGATAATATTATTTAAATTAGGTTCCGCTGTAACTCCATATTTCTTGTGAACCAAACTTTTCAAATTAGCATCATGCTTAGTTGACAATTTAACACACTTACATTGATGGACCCAACCCCAAAACCTAGAGAACCTTACACAATCAAAAAATGAAATTGAATTCCTATAAGAACACCATAATCTCTTGTAATCCTGCTTTAGACCCAGGCTTCTAGTTGAAAGATGTTGAATCCAATCTTTAATA